GACGGGGATGATGAGAGCTCCTCTGCCGATACTGGAACAGTTGCCCTGCCGGAAAATCCTGGTACTGACGATTCTGACACTTCCTTCACCGGATGACGTATAGGACTGCCGTAGAATTGTGTGTGCTTCTTAATGCGTCCTGAAGTTCGCGATGAAGATGATTCATTTCCGTCTTGCTCTGCTGTAGTATCTGGGGTAGATTTCTGTAGGTGTCTACGGACCTGATACGGCTTGTTTCTTTGTTAGTTGGTCTTACAATTGTCAGGGGGCAGGACTGCGGAGTAACGTTCGATTCTACTTCTTGGTCATCTTCCGAAGATACTGGCACTAATCCGGCTGCATCTGTGACAACATCTGCATCAGGTTGGATAGTGACTCTGCACCAGGTTGGATAGTGGTCTTGTCGGACCTTCTTTTGTCTATCTTGACCGATATTGGGACTGCTTTAGAACTGGTCGGTTGGTCAATAGGTGAAGAGCTTGCCACTGGGGGCTTGATGACGCCGACTGAGCTTGACGACGATCTGGTTAGGTCCACTATCGGAACTGGTGGTCTGGGCTTCTGGATCAGAGTGCTTGCTCTGGACACGTTGGGTGCAATCCTCCGAAATTTCCCTTGGAAAGGGACTGCCGGTGCTGTAAGTTTTGATGATGCGTATAGTTGTCTCGGGTGGGCTTAGGCCCTCGGATCTATCGGTTCGTCCGAGGAAGAAGATGATGATAATTTCTTTTGTATCTTCATTCTTTTTCCCGTTACTGGCTTGCTAGGTCCTTGGTGACCTGAAATTTGGGAATTATTTAACCTTAATATGATATGTCATTTTTCTTAATAACTTTCCCTGATTCTGTAATATACGTTGAAGGAGTTATTTTGACGATCTTATCCAAATAACATTTAAAAAGTTGTTACCCCGTCTTGAGATTGGCCACTTTCCTGAATTCTTCGACTGATTTAGGATTAGATAAGAGTAATTACTCTAGTTTACTTTTTGCCTTGGAAGTTGGTAATTACACTGTGTCTTGTCTAAATCTGAGGGTCCCTGATGTTAAGCTGTTTCTGAGAGAAGCTGCTAGAAGTTGATTTCTCTCTGTTAATGTGCGGAGTGAGTGCCCGGCATCCTTCTTCGTGTGACAGCTTCTTTTTCCATACCATCCATTTGTTCGCTGATTTGGCTGATTGTTCGAGGGATCTATAGTAAGGTGTGTTCGCAATTGGTGTAGTTTCTTGTTTGATTTTAGGCGATACATCTCGACTTTGGCAGCGCTTCCTCACTACTTTAAGGCGTGGTCTGCTGTCGCAAGTCTGTCTTCCGCAGTCAGGAGGCCTCTTTTCAGGTTTTGCTCGTCTAAAAGTAGTTTAGATTTAAAATTATAAATTTTCTGCCAAATTGGGACTCGAAGGGAGATAGACTTGTAATTGAGTTTTTGTTACCCGAGTATCTTCGATTATCATTTTAAGAGCCGATTGGATATCTTCGAACTGTAAAATTCCCAATTTCCTTTCAATTGTCTGTATTGCACGCTCTACCAATCCGCAGCCTTGGTGGTCTCCGACCGAACAGAAAATGTGATTTATGCGTTTTGATTTGCAAAATTGATCTACAGCCTTATTTTTAAAACCGGAATCTTGGTCCGTTCTAATCGCCTTTGGAATACTTTGTGTAAAAACATTATTCTCCAAGAATTTTAAAATTTTGTTGGCTCCATTCGTTTTGGTGAGTATTGCAGACGGGTATTTGGAATAACGGTCGATAGCTACCAAAATATACACTTGATTTCTTACACTGTCTGATAATGGACCCGCGTAGTCTAGGTGAACTTCCTCGTTGGGACCGTTTAATAGAGGAAGAGATGTGTACATTTTGAAAGAATTCATTGGTTTCAAATTCTTACCGAGTTTGGTGCATTTTTTGCAGTTCCTGCTAAGGTTTACAATGTCCATGGATCCTCGGCGACCACAAATACTGGTCTATATCCACTATCGCTTCTTGACTTGGGTGAGAGCGATGTTCGGTATTCAAAGACCTTTTGGTTCCGATCCGAGAGAAAGGTCGGAGAGTACCAATACATATCCAAGACAAAGTGGGCACTGAAATTAAAAAACTCATCAAAGAAGGACACTTTGTTTTACTCATTGTTTTAAAACCGGGTCTTACGGTCTGACAGATATGCCCAAGGAATTTCAAAAGGCAATGGACAACACCCTACAAAACATCAAAGGAGTTATTTGTTTCTTAGACGATTTACTAATAGTTTCGAAAGGTTCAATCGAAAACCACAACAAAACTGTAGAAAAGGTTTTCCATAAACTAGACAGAGAAGGTTTTGCTCACAAACTATCAAAATGTGAGTTTTCTGTTAACAAAATGTCGTGGTTAGGTTTCGAACCGTGTACCAACCGAAATTCTCAAAGGTGCAGGCAGTTCTAGCACTCAAACCTCTCCACATTTTAAAACAACTGCGTTCATTCATGGGAGTTCTCAACTATCTACAGAAATTCTTACCCAACCTTCATCTTCTGACCGAACACTTTAGACCTTCGTTAAAAATGAGTAATAAACAATTTCATAAGGGGCGGCACTCCTACCGTAACACAATTACGTACAAATAACAATTATTCTTAGTTCCGACAAAACTCCTTTCTATCATTTCTATCAAATGATTGTCTATCATTTCTCGAACATAATTGTTCGGGAAATTGCAATGAAAGAATTGCATACCTTGTCTTCTTTATCGTCCTCAGTTTCCTTGGTTTTGTCTCAATTTTCTACAGTCTTATCTGTTGTAGATGTTTTAACTGTAATGGTGGTCCTCATTTTCGTGCTGCTGCAAATACTGTTTTTTTAATCGTCCGGCTTGTTCAACGCCAAGTTTATTTTGAGATAATTTCCTTTTTATTCTTCGACCGGCGTGTCATGATTAAAAGGCGTGTCTTCAACTCAAATTGCTGCCTATTTTTTCAGCATCAGCGTAGTTGTTTGTTAGTTTTGTCCCGACTACAATCATTCATGTAGCCTGTCACCTATGGGCTAATAAAAATCAATGGCTAATAAAATCAGAGCGACTGGTTTTTTGTTAGTCTGAAGTTTGTATTCTGGTAAAAGATGGACGAATATAAAAATTAAGATTGGTAAAAGATTTTCCATATGAATAAATTTTTCTCCAACATTTTGTATCGTAAAAAATTGGTTGAATAAAAGTTTCGAATGTTTTCTTTTCAAATGTCAATTTCTACCAGTAATTTATGGGTTAAATTAAATTCAATCTAACAACGAAAAAAGTTGAATGATCAAAAAAAAACTTTTTAAAGATGAAACTGAGAAGTCGCAAAAATTTAGTTTTCAACCTTTTTCTCAATTTTTAAAGATAATTGCATTTTTTTACCTATCGGATTTAGTTGTTATTTTTACGGAATTTATATATAACTTTTTAGCTAAAATAACAATTGTCAAGGTAATTTTTTTTCTTTCAACATTTGGTGATTGTCTTATTTTCTGTTTTTAGTTTCAGTTTCTTTTTTGCAAGTGTTGCAAAGCTCCGCTTCGATTGAGTGTTTTTGTTCCGACCATTGAAAATGGGGAGTAACTTTGGATTCATACGTGGTTTAGTTTTTTCCACGCAATGTCGAGTGCCGCAAATATTCATCGGGATGGCTGAGTGATATGTCAAATTCAACCCGTTTCAACCGTGACTCGAACGACTTTGAAGTTTTTCCAGCAAGATTTCCAATTTTTGTTTGTTTCAGTCTTTTTTCGAGCAAGTAAAGCGATCGAGTTTTGTTCGTTATCTGAAAGATTTAGGCTAAAAAGCTTGATTTTTACTAAAAAGAAAACTACTTACTGCTTCCTGGGCAGTAATTAAGGTGAATATAGCGCTACCTAGTCAACATTTCAAAAAATGTTTTTAATTTTTTTTTTAATTTTTGCTTTGAGTTTTGTTTTTATTTTTGTTTTGTTATTCATTTATTTGACAAATGATAATGATGTCGATTATGCCTATTTCAGTAACTTTCTACACGTTTCTATTGTTTTTTCATCACACGGCGTAAAAAAAACAACTTTAATTTGAAATTAAACGAATAGAAATCATTTTTTGTAGTTTTTATGAACATGGTCAGAAATTTCTGTGCTAATTGCACAGCAACGTCTATCCTTGTATTTTTAAGAGTAATGAACGTAGTGAAGACTCTCATATGGGTCTTGGGAGTAAAATACTCTAATAACTACAGATGTGCATTCATATATATTAATGCCTTTATGAATGCACTTAATATATTCACGTTTTGAGTTCATCTGCTGAAAGTTATGTAAATAGAACTCTCTAAATACGAACGTGGAAATGGCGCGAAAAAACGCGAATGATTTCTACTTTTGAAAGTGGAATTTAATTTTAAGATTCCCAGCGGAATAAAACCGTTACCGATTGATCCAGTTTTCTCTAAATGGGTTGATAAAATCAAAAAGCACCAATATTACGTTATCCTTGAATTTCAAAGAGCTTAAAAAACATCTGTTTTTTTCTTTAAAATTCCAAAGTTGAGATTTTTAAAATCAAAGTCAGTGTTTTTTTTTGTTTACTTGCGTTCATTACTCTTTTCCAACTGTCAATTGGCTATATTTCTATTTTAACACGAATAATAAATCCACAAATTCAGTTAGTTTTTGAGTGTAAAAATGTTTGTGCAAATTTGTGTAACAGCTATTTTTTTTTATACAGGTAACTTGTTACTAATTGATAATTTGATGCTTGTTTGAAATATTCTTAAGAGTCAACATTAAATGATTGACTATGTTTTTACTTATTTTATACGCCTGAAAACAAAGAATAAGGGTATGTTTGAATTTGCTGATAAGTGATTCGGGTTTAAAGTATTATACGAAGTATTTGTAACATAATTTTCAACTATAATTGAATAAGTTGATGCAAATAATTTCGCGACGACATTTTCCCAAAAATTGTTTGAAATGTTGGTTGCCCATTGGGATTTCACTCTTCTAGTATATATATGAATGGCTGTCTTGTCCAAAGACAATCCATTGCAGTCATCCAACTGTACGGTGCTGTTCGGACCCGTTAATGGGGAAGTGAAAGTGAGCAGTATGAAGTCGGGATCCTTCGGCAAGGCTAAGAACAGAAAGGGATCGATGGAAGTGAGAAGATACTTAGACAGTGGGGCTGTGTGGGTCTTTTTCAAGTACCACGACCCACCCCAACTCTTCTATTTCAACGTGGTAGGTTGAGGTTGTAATAAAAATGTGTACTATCTTAAATCTGCTCTATCGGCTCTGTGGCTCTGTGTAGATTTTTGTATTCAAGTCGCAAGTGCGTCAGAATCAGTTTCAATTGCCTTAATTTTTTTAAACCAAATGTCATTTTGAGATGGCATTGAAATGCCATTTTGAGCTGGCATTGAAATGCCATTTTGAGCTAAAGCTTTGGTATTTTAGGAAATACGGCAATGTTTGATTTCGTTTACTTGAATAGCATCCTTTCTGTGTAAACTTTTGCTGACGTTGTCTATGCAATAAATACCCCCAATAGTGGTTTTGGTAAAGAGTGTTATTTTGATCTTGTTTTCTACGGCATCAAGCGAAAAGTTTCTTAAGCGCACATTGTTTTCAAAGTGCAGATTGTGTTCGATTGTCGAGAACAAATCGGGTTTCAAAAGTCTCAAAAATGTCGGTTTGCAGTCAAGTTAAAAACAATTTTCGGTCGAAGATATGATATCGTCCTAAAGGTTTTTGTTTTTGAGTTTTTTATTGTCAATGAATGGAGCTTGCTTTATTCGATTTTTCATCCAGCCTTAACTGACTCGTTTTCTGTCGTCGATTCGTCCTCCTTACTAAAGCGCAACTTGCTGTCTCGGTTTTGAGTGAAAATTCTGAAAAGTTATTGTTTCAGGCGACAGAAAAGATAAAGGCAACTGCCTACCCAGACAAATTGTATCTATCATGTGTGGATAACAGCAGCATCTCTTACCAGTTTCAGCCTCAGTACAACTTGAATGGGAAAGAAATGTTTCGAAAAATAGTTGAGGATATCAATACCGCACTTCGAGAATCAGGTAGCTCAACAGCTGATTTTCATCCAATTACGTTTACAAAGTACTAAGATTTTTTCAATGTTTTTCAACCGTCTGCATTTCTAAGTTTTCAGTCCTCTGACTACAATCAATAAGCGGCTAGTTTATTTTATAATTTGTATTTTAAATGGAAAGCAATTTGGGTACTCTATAAACCAAAGCTCAATTTCATGAAAATTCATTTTAACTACTTGGTGCAATGTTTTTTACTGGGATCTTTTTCAGAATTAAATAGATTTGTTTGTCGGCTTCATGGATTTCGTCCCATTTTTTGTCGGCTTATTGGCCGGATGTATCAAATTTTGCTGCCATTATACAAGCATAGCTTGTGATATAGTATGAACTTTTTTTCCAACCTAAGTCGCAACTATTGTTGCGATGCAATTGTTGCTACAAAATGTGTTCAGTTTGGGAGTGTTCATTTTGATCCAGCTATTAAGTACAGCCAATGCTAAGGATATTAACACAGACTATTATGTTACAAATAGCACTTTAGCTTCAAGGCATCATAGATCTGTAGCTAAGAGGTAGGGAAAGAGACCAGCAGCAAAATAATAGGGTTCGAACCTGGGCAGGGTCGGATGTTTTAAATGAACTTTTTCGTATACTAGTTAAAATGCGTCCGCTCTATAAACTGAGGCATGTTATTTGGTAAATTTCGTTTTTTTTTTTCAAATTGACTGGTACTGCTAATGCGTGATAATTGGCTTGCGCCGCTTAGCAATTATGTAGTCTCATAATTGGCGTGCGTTATGAAATTTTGTAGACTCAAAATTTTATTCATTCAGTTTTTCCCAGTAGCGTTATCGGTCACATTTTTATTCGTGTATGCGAAGTGAAACTTCGCCTCTGTTTAGGATAGTTTTTTCAGAACTTTTTGATTCATCGGATAACTAGTAGATTTCATTACCCTTGCGATAAGCAAAGGTATTGCAACCGGGTACTAGACTTTTCCCGTAAACAACTTTGTTCACAGAATGGTCAAACAGTTGAATTCTTAGCATATTTGGAGTGTATGAACTACATATATGTACATAGGGTGAACATACGAGTTGAAAATTAATTTTTATCTGTTCCAAAATATTTGGATAGATTTTCGGCACGTAGGTCGGTCGGCTTTGTTTTTGTTGTCTTATTTTGCTCATGTTTTTTTTTCTTTTTATGATCTTTGTTATTAAATGAAAACGGTTGAACTCTACGAGAAATTTTGAAAAATCTGAATTGCCCTCTTAGGCCTTCTCTTATAGAATTTGAAAATAAACATGAAAAATTGTTTAAAAAATCATGTTTCGGCTTTTAGTTCGTTTATATTGTTTAAGCGGAACCTCGATTTTTTTTGTAGCATCAATTTACAGCTTTAGATATATTATTTTGTGCTTTTTAGCTTTGTCAATGCCTGACCTAATCGAAATATGTTTTTTTAATGTCGGTTTGTTAAAATTCATTTTATGTCGGTTTTGTCCTCCATAATATCTGTTTTGTCGTCTCGTTTGTTTCATTTGACGACTGAATGAAGTTGTTTTTGTGTGTATCGATGTGAGGGCGAGGGAGGACTCAATATTTTTTTTCATAAATATTCTCAATGAAGCCTCAAGTTTTTTTGCATTTTTTTCGGCTTACAGGGTTTCTACTAGGGTATTTTCGGCTTTCTTACTTCTTGGTAGTTTTTCTTTCGATCAATGCTATTTTCAACATTTTTTTTATCTTTGCGTGTTTTTATTTTAAAACTAGACTTTTTAATTTTAACGGATTTCGAATTTCGATTATAGTTTCGAGTTTTCGTTTAATTTTTTTTATTTCGCGGCAATTTTTTTCTCGATTTCTTGTTTTGCATCGCAAGTGGCGCGAAGCTCAGCTTCGCCCCTGTGTAATAAATTGAGCCTTAATCTACCGTCCAGGGCATTTGGTGCAGAGATAACACATAAACTTTTTCGTTGATTTATATCCCGTGTCACGAAATTTCTCTTTCTAGATTCATGTCTCTGATGACTACTATTAGTGGAAGTACTTGAGTCAGAAAGTTTTTGCCGAATTTTGTTGCATTTTTTGAAAATTTTTCGAAAATATTTGCTTCGTCGTTCAATATTCACGGAATTTTTACATATGCGGTTGATAGTGTTTTTTTGAGATTAATACGAGTCAGTCATACTGTTTTGAATGCTCAAAGCTAGTTCCACTACGAACTCTTTAAAAAACATAACTATATTAATCTTGAAAAATATTAATCTTTGTTCATTTTTTGTTTGTTTTTATAGTTCTCTTTTCAATTTCATCCTTTGAAGTTATCTCTGCTACTTTTGAAGGGTCATGTGGTTTTAATTCTGTTGTATCGCAAGTGGTGCGAAGCTCAGTTTGCCTAGACGTAAAATATCGCACGGGAATTTAAGATATTCTTATTGACTCACTTTTCTCAATTGAGTTAATTTGGCACCCACGAGAGATTCTTAAAAGTTAACGATGTTTTCGGCTGAATGAGTTTTGTCAACAGTTTCTGTCGGCTAGCTTGCGGTGCTTTGCTTGTGATGTATGGCAAGTCGTGCGAAGCTCTGCTTCCCCTCTATTTTAAAGCATGGGTGAATTTTTTGTTCGATGCGGGAGTGGTCCCAATGACTCTAATTGCTTTTAACTAAGTGTGGGTTCGATCCCCGCTGCCGCAATTTCCTTTGCTGAATTGTTTTCTTTTTGGCTTTTGCCGTTCTTATTAGTTTTGCTGGGTAGGTGTTCAAATTTTTGTTTCCAGATTTTGGGGTTCGGATAGTAAATAACTTGTATAGTCTTGTTTAACGTGTGGATAATCTAGTTTGCTTCATTAGTTTTTGACACTCTTTTGAGTTTGAGCATCACGTTTGAATGTTGACTAGAGTTTTTTTAGCTGAGCTTTATTTCAGCTGGCAAGAACAGTGAATGTTCTTCTCCAAGAATTCAGACGAAAGCGTTCAACGTTGAAGACGACAACAACGTTAGTGGTTAATTATTGCAGTTTCGAAAATCATCTAATGAGCATGATGATTGGATTCGAGTGGACTTTAGCCATTTTCTATGCATTTCAGCCCCTCGACAGGAATCGCCCCTCATATTTCACACTTGTCCCGTTTTGAATGATGTCCCAGGCTAGTTTCGTAAGGCAATATGAGTTTAATTGAACTTAACTTGGGCGGTTGGTTTTTATTAAGTTTTCAATATTGTCTAATGCTTTTGACACATGCGTCAAAATGGGGGGGGGACAAGGGAGCAAAGTCTGTCGCTAAACCAATTGGTCGGTTTGTACGGGGGCTGAAATTCGTGTCAATAGGCATCGAGTGGGTTATAATGAGTCGCTTCAAATCTCTTATAATTGGGAAATTAAAAGTTTTATTTGTTTATTGTTAAACAGCGAAACGGTTTATCAGTTATTTAGGTTTTGTGGTTTTTCAGGTGAAAGTCTTAAAAGTTGATCACGTGCAAGTTTGATTTCGATCAATTCATAAGATCAACTCAAATCCATTTCCTAAAAAAAGGGACATTACGCTTTCCAATAGCAAATTTTCAAATGGCGCGAAAGGTTAAGGCGACTGACTTTGTTGCAAAAAGGGACTGTTAACTTTCAAATTTTAAGTAGATTAAAATTACTTATTAACCCAGTTTTCTCTAATTGAGTTAATTATATGATAAAAGGTTCAATCATAAAAAATCTTTGAAATGCAAAGAGCCTTAGCTTGATATATATGTTCAAGAAAACTACCATTAGTCTCCAAGTGTCTTTTTTCATGTTTTCTGGTCGTTTTGAAGTACTAACAAAAAGTTTGAAGACAGCGTTGAAGAATTTTCCGACCACCACATCGATTGAAAAAAAAATCGAATAACATAATTTCTTGAAAAGGATAGTTTTTTTTTCTAGAAATGGTGATTGAAAAATGCATGAACGAGTGGTAGTTAATAGCTTAAATATCGCTGAAATTTTAGTGGAATGGAATGAGGAGGCCAGATTTTAATAAAAATTCTGTTAGTTCTTATCAAGTTTAGCCTGAAAAACGGGACAAAAATCAGACCACTTCGACACTGCGATGTTTTTTTAGAATCCGAATCATGTCATAAATGCCTAAAAACAATTACATGACGCTCTTCTAGTTTTCTAGCCAAAATCGGCTGGAAAAAAGGACCCTATGCCATGGTTTTTTCCCACCCCAAGGGGATGGTGGTCCGAGCAAAAACTTTGAACCCTTCAAGAAAACAATGAATCACCTTTTAATGTAGACGAACAGAGTAGTCGGAATATTCCGTACTACTTGCGCGTGAACTGGTTTCTTTTTCTAAGTTCGACATTTTTACAAAAGCAACGCTGGTGAAATCTTGAAGTATCAGAAACTATTGTTATTTGAAATAAAATTTCTTTCAAATCATTTTTGCTGCATCTAAGCATGTGTAAGCGAAGTGCAGCTTTGTCTCAAGTTTTAATTTATATAGAATAACTTCTAGATTTGTGTTTATAGAACGTATCACCCACGATATCAAGCGCAAAGTGAGTTCTTTAATCTGGGAGTTTTCATTTCAACGTAATTTGAGATAGTTTGAAAGTTTTTTAGGCGATCTGCCGCAAATATTCATCGGGATGGCTGAGTGATATGTCAAATTCAACCCGTTTCAACCGTGACTCGAACGACCTTGAAGTTTTTCCAGCAAGATTTCCAATTTTTGTTTGTTTCAGTCTTTTTTCGAGCAAGTAAAGCGATCGAGTTTTGTTCGTTATCTGAAAGATTTAGGCTAAAAAGCTTGATTGTTACTAAAAAGAAAACTACTTACTGCTTCCTGGGCAGTAATTAAGGTGAATGTAGCGCTACCTAGTCAACATTTCAAAAAAATGTTTTAAATTTTTTTTTTAAATTTTTGCTTTGAGTTTTGTTTTTATTTTTGTTTTGTTATTCATTTATTTGACAAATGATAATGATGTCGATTATGCCTATTTCAGTAACTTTCTACACGTTTCTACTGTTTTTTCATCACACGGCGTAAAAACAACAACTTTAATTTGAAATTAAACGAATAGAAAACATTTTTTGTAGTTTTTATGAACATGGTCAGAAATTTCTGTGCTAATTGCACAGCAACGTCTATCCTTGTTGTATTTTTAAGAGTAATGAACGTAGTGAAGACTCTCATATGGGTCTTGGGAGTAAAATACTCTAATAACTACAGATGTGCATTCATATATATTAATGCCTTTATGAATGCACTTAATATATTCACGTTTTGAGTTCATCTGCTGAAAGTTATGTAAATAGAACTCTCTAAATACGAACGTGGAAATGGCGCGAAAAAACGCGAATGATTTCTACTTTTGAAAGTGGAATTTAATTTTTAGTTTCCCAGCGGAATAAAACCGTTACCGATTGATCCAGTCTTCTCTAAATGGGTTGATATAATCAAAAAGCACCAATATTACGTTATCCTTGAAACTCAAAGAGCTTAAAAAACATCTGTTTTTTTCTTTAAAATTCCAAAGTTGAGATTTTTAAAATCAAAGTCAGTGTTTTTTTTGTTTACTTGCGTTCATTACTCTTTTCCAACTGTCAATTGGCTATATTTCTATTTTAACACGACTAATAAATCCACAAATTCAGTTAGTTTTTGAGTGTAAAAATGTTTGTGCAAATTTGTGTAACAGCTATTTTTTTTATACAGGTAACTTGTTACTAATTGATAATTTGATGCTTGTTTGAAATATTCTTAAGAGTCAACATTAAATGATTGACTATGTTTTTACTTATTTTATACGCCTGAAAACAAAGAATAAGGGTATGTTTGAATTTGCTGATAAGTGATTCGGGTTTAAAGTATTATACGAAGTATTTGTAACATAATTTTCAACTATAATTGAATAAAGTTGATGCAAATAATTTCGCGACGACTTTTTCCCAAAAATTGTTTGAAATGTTGGTTGCCCATTGGGATTTCACTCTTCTAGTATATATATGAATGGCTGTCTTGTCCAAAGACAATCCATTGCAGTCATCCAACTGTACGGTGCTGTTCGGACCCGTTAATGGGGAAGTGAAAGTGAGCAGTATGAAGTCGGGATCCTTCGGCAAGGCTAAGAACAGAAAGGGATCGATGGAAGTGAGAAGATACTTAGACAGTGGGGCTGTGTGGGTCTTTTTCAAGTACCACGACCCACCCCAACTCTTCTATTTCAACGTGGTTGGTTCAGGTTGTAATAAAAATGTGAACTATCTTAAATCTGCTCTATCGGCTCTGTGTAGATTTTTGTATTCAAGTCGCAAGTGCGTCAGAATCAGTTTCAATTGCCTTAATTTTTTTAAACCAAATTGTTTCAGGCGACAGAAAAGATAAAGGCAACTGCCTACCCAGACAAATTGTATCTATCATGTGTAGATAACAGCAGCATCTCTTACCAGTTTCAGCCTCAGTACAACTTGAATTGGAAAGAAATGTTTCGAAAAATAGTTGAGGATATCAATACCGCACTTCGAGAATCAGGTAGCTCAACAGCTGATTTTCATCCAATTACGTTTACAAAGTCCAAAGATTTTTTCAATGTTTTTCAACCGTCTGCATTTCTAAGTTTTCAGTCCTCTGACTACAATCAATAAGCGGCTAGTTTATATTATAATTTGTATTTTAAATGGAAAGCAATTTGGGTACTCTATAAACCAAAGCTCAATTTCATGAAAATTCATTTTAACTACTTGGTGCAATGTTTTTTACTGAGATCTTTTTCAGAATTAAATAAATTTGTTTGTCGGCTTCATGGATTTCGTCCCATTTTTTGTCGGCTTATTGGCCGGATGTATCAAATTTTGCTGCCATTACACAAGCATAGCTTGTGATATAGTATGAACTTTTTTTCCAACCTAAGTCGCAACTATTGTTGCGATGCAATTGTTGCTACAAAATGTGTTCTGTTTGGGAGTGTTCATTTTGATCCAGCTATTAAGTACAGCCAATGCTAAGGATATTAACACAGACTATTATGTTGCAAATAGCACTTTAGCTTCAAGGCATCATAGATCTGTAGCTAAGAGGTAGGGAAGGAGACCAGCAGCAAAATAATAGGGTTCGAACCTGGGCAGGGTCGGATGTTTTAAATGAACTATACTATTATACTAGTTAAAATGCGTCCGCTCTATAAACTGAGGCATGTTATTTGGTAAATTTCGTTTTTTTTTTCAAATTGACTGGTACTGCTAATGCGTGATAATTGGCTTGCGCCACTTAGCAATTATGTAGTCTCATAATTGGCGTGCGTTATGAAATTTTGTACACTCAAAGTTTTATTCATTCAGTTTTTCCCAGTAGCGTTATCGGTCACATTTTTATTCGTGTATGCGAAGTGAAACTTCGCCTCTGTTTAGGATAGTTTTTTCAGAACTTTTTGATTCATCGGATAACTAGTAGATTTCATTACCCTTGCGATAAGCAAAGGTATTGCAACCGGGTACTAGACTTTTCCCGTAAACAACTTTGTTCACAGAATGGTCAAACAATTGAATTCTTAGCATAGTTGGAGTGTATGAACTACATATATGTACATAGGGTGAACATACGAGTTGAAAATTAATTTTTACCTGTTCCAAAATATTTGGATAGATTTTCGGCACGTAGGTCGGTCGGCTTTGTTTCTGTTGTCTTATTTTGCTCATGTTTTTTTCTTTTTATGATCGTTGTTATTAAATGAAAACGGTTGAACTCTACGAGAAATTTTGAAAAATCTGAATTGCCCTCATAGGCCTTCTCTTATAGAATTTGAAAATAAACATGAAAAATTGTTTAAAAAAATTTTGAACATTTTTTATTTTAAAAAAAATCATGATTCGGCTTTTAGTTCGTTTATATTGTTTAAGCGGAACCTCGATTTTTTTGTAGCATCAATTTACAGCTTTAGACCTAAGGCCTGACCTAATGAAATATGTTTTTTTATGTCGGTTTGTTAAAATTCATTTGTTTTTGTTTTCCTTTTTTCGACTTGATAGGTTTCGGCATAAATTATATCGGCTTAGTGGCCTCATTTTGCGCCCTTCTACGAGCGACTTTTTTTGCGTGTGTGTGTGTTATGAGGGCGGGGATGACTTGATAATTTTTTTGATCTGTTTTAGGCTTTTATCTTTTCCTAGTTTTTTCGGCTGGATAGGTTTTGTCCTCTATAATATCTGCTTTGTCGTCTCGTTTGTTTCATTTGACGACTGAATGAAGTTGTTTTTGTGTGTATCGATGTGAGGGCGAGGGAGGACTCAATATTTTTTTTCATAAATATTCTCAATGAAGCCTCAAGTTTTGTTGCATTTTTTTCGGCTTACAGGGTTTCTACTAGGGTATTTTCGGCTTTCTTACTTCTTGGTAGTTTTTCTTTCGATCAATGCTATTTTCAACATTTTTTTTATCTTTGCGTGTTTTTATTTTAAAACTAGACTTTTTAATTTTAACGAATTTCGATTATAGTTTCGAGTTTTCGTTTAATTTTTTTTATTTCGCGGCAATTTTTTTCTCGATTTCTTGTTTTGCATCGCAAGTGGCGCGAAGCTCAGCTTCGCCCCTGTGTAATAAATTGAGCCTTAATCTACCGTCCAGGACATTTAGTGCAGAGATAACACAAACTTTTTCGTTGACTTATATCCCGTGTCACGAAATTTCTCTTTCTAGATTCATGTCTCTGATGACTACTATTAGTGGAAGTACTTGAGTCAGAAAATGTTGCCGAATTTTGTTGCATTTTTTGAAAATTTTTCGAAAATATTTGCTTCGTCGTTCAATATTCACGGAATTTTTACATATGCGGTTGATAGTGTTTTTTTTTAGATTAATAAGAGTCAGTCATACTGTTTTGAATGCTCAAAGCTAGTTCCACTACGAACTCTTTAAAAAACATAACTATATTAATCTTGAAAAATATTAATCTTTGTTCATTTTTTGTTTGTTTTTATAGTTCTCTTTTCAATTTCATATCCTTGGAAGTTATCTCTGCTACTTTTGAAGGGTCATGTGGTTTTAATTCTGTTGTATCGCAAGTGGTGCGAAGCTCAGTTTGCCTAGACGTAAAATATTGCACGGGAATTTAAGATATTCTTATTGACTCACTTTTCTCAATTGAGTTAATTTGGCACCCACGAGAGATTCTTAAAAGTTAACGATGTTTTCGGCTGAATGAGTTTTGTCAACAGTTTCTGTCGGCTAGCTTGCGGTGCTTTGCTTGTGATGTATGGCAAGTGGTGCGAAGCTCTGCTTCCCTTCTATTTTAAAGCATGGGTGAATTTTTTGTTCGATGCGGGAGTGGTCCCAATGACTCTAATTGCTTTTAACTAAGTGTGGGTTCGATCCCCGCTGCCGCAATTTCCTTTGCTGAATTGTTTTCTTTTTGGCTTTTGCCGTTCTTATTAGTTTTGCTGGGTAGGTGTTCAAATTTTTGTTTCCAGATTTTGGGGTTCGGATAGTAAATAACTTGTATAGTCTTGTTTAACGTGTGGATAATCTAGTTTGCTTCATTAGTTTTTGATACTCTTTTGAGTTTGAGCATCACGTTTGAATGTTGAATCGAGTTTTTTTTAGCTGAGCTTTATTTCAGCTGGCAAGAATAGTGAATGTTCTTCTCCAAGAATTCAGACGAAAGCGTTCAACGTTGAAGACGACAACAACGTTAGTGGTTAATTATTGCAGTTTCGAAAATCATCTAATGAACATGATGATTGGATTCGAGTGGACTTTAGCCATTTTCCATGCCTTTCAGCCCCTCGACAGGAATCGCCCCTCATATTTCACACTTGTCCCGTTTCGAATGATGTCCCGGGCTAGTTCCCTAAAGGCAATATGAGTTTAATTGAACTTAACTTGGGCGGTTGGTTTTTATTAATTTTTCAATATTGTCTAATGCTTTTGACACATGCGTCAAAATGGGGGGGGGGGGGGGGGGGGGCAAGGGAGCAAAGTCTGTCGCTAAACCAATTGGTCGGTTTGTACGGGGGCTGAAATTCGTGTCAATAGGCATCGAGTGGGTTATGAGTCGCTTCAAATCTCTTATAATTGGGAAATTAAAAGTTTTATTTGTTTATTGTTAAACAACGAAACGGTTTATCAGTTATTTAGGTTTTGTGGTTTTTCAGGTGAAAGTCTTAAAAGTTGATCACGTGCAAGTTTGATTTCGATCAATTCATAAGATCAATTCAAATCCATTTCCTAAAAAAAGGGACTGTTTTCTCTAATTGAGTTAATTATATGATAAAAGGTTCAATCATAAAAAATCTTTGAAATGCAAAGAGCCTTAGCTTGATATATATGTTCAAGAAAACTACCATTAAAGTCTCCAAGTGTCTTTTTTCATGTTTTCTGGTCTATTTGAAGTACCAACAAACAGTTTGAAGACAGCGTTGAAGAATTTTTCGACCACCACATCGATTGAAAAAAAATCGAATAACATAATTTCTTGAAAAGGATAGTTTTTTTTTCTAGAAATGGTGATTGAAAAATGCATGAACGAGTGGTAGTTAATAGCTTAAATATCGTTGACATTTTAGTGGAATGGAATGAGGAGGCCAGATTTTAATAAAAATTCTGTTAGTCCTTATCAAGTTTAGCCTGAAAAACGGGACAAAAATCAGACCACTTCGACACTGCGATGTTTTTTTTAGAATCCGAATTATGTCATAAATGCCTAAAAACAATTACATGACGCTCTTCTAGTTTTCTAGCCAAAATCGGCTGGAAAAAAGGACCCTATGCCATAGTTTTTTCCCACCCCAAGGGGATGGTGGTCCGAGCAAAAACTTTGAACCCTTCAAGAAAACAATGAATCACTTTTTAATGTAGACGAGCAGAGTGGTCGGAATATTCCGTACTACTTGCGCATGAACTGGTTTCTTTTTCTAAGTTCGACGTTTTTACAAAAGCAACGCAGGTGAAATCTTGAAGTATCCGAAACTATTGTAATTTGAAGTAAAATTTCTTTCAAATATTTTTGCTGTATCTAAGCATGTGTTAGCGAAGTGCAGTTTTGTCTCAAGTTTTAATTTATATGGAATAACGCCTAGATTTGTGTTTATAGAACGTTTCACCCACAATATCAAGCGCAAAGTGAGTTCTTTAATCTGGGAATTTTCCTTTCAACGTAATTTGAGATAGTTTGAAAGTTTTTTAGGCGATCTGCTAAGAGCAGCTTCTACAGCCAGGATGTTTGCAGTGCTAGTGAACCCAAATACCGGTCTCCATTTGCCAGAAACGAAAACTCAGCCAGTACTACAGTGATACCCAAAGCGACGTAGGTCCATACTATATGCATGTACTCGCCCAGTCTAAGGACCAAATTTGCTTTAAAAAATCTGACTTTCGAATACCCCTGTCGTTAAAATCAATTTTATTGGAAAAAATTAAATCCAGCATTTTGTTCCGTCATCTGTTGCAGTACTTGTTACAAAAAAGAGGAGAGGTTAGCTGGTGTGCAAGTAGCCGAGAATGTTACGAACTGAGTAATTTCGCAACGAACGTTCCCATTTTTTGCAAATTTCAGTTGATTTCCAAGGCAGGGAGGCGTAACGGTTTGATTAAGTAATGCAGTGCAGATTTGAGCAAAAAGTAGTCAAAATGTAAAAACAATCGAATTTTCAAATTGTAAGTTCACGCTGAGTTCCCAAAAACAATGAGAAAAACGGCGCATGATATTGAAACTTAATGTACTGAAATCTAGTCGAAAATTCTCCGCAAACAGTAACTGTTGTCATTTCTGTTGTTTAGAAGCGTCGATTTGTTCAAGGTCAAGACCGGATGGACGGGAGAGACGGCTAAGCCCTCTCCACTTGCTCAATCACCATCCAAGACACTCGTAGTGAGATCAGAAGATACTGCGAAAGTCGACGGGTAACAGCATGCGTTTTCATCAGTACTTCTGTCTCTATTTTTATTTGTTTTTTTTTGTGTTGCTTTCGGCCTTAATTAGATCAACGCAGAATTGAATTTCAGTTTCATCGACTTTAAGTGTCAATGAACGTAGTGAAGATCAATTGAGCTCACACCCAGGTAGAGATCGCACCCAATTGATGTGTAATTAGCACGCAATCAATCGACTGTTTGAAATTTTGGGTTCTTCTTTAGTTCAGTGACACTTTTCCAACTTTCTGTTGGTTTTGACATTTTTTCGCCATCACGAGCGAAAACAGGGAAATTTTTATTGCTTTCAAAATCACGAATAAAACTTGAAACTTTTTTTTTGTCAAAATTGTCAAATTTGTGACAATTGTGACTAAGACATAAGATATTGGGTCAAGTTTTGATAAATTATGTGATCAAATGAGCAGATGAGTCAGCTCAACAAAATTAATATTAACTTATTACTTAAAATTAAGTTGCGCATAGTGTATGCGTTTTCTTAGCGCATATTAAACGGTTTTCGCTGCTTTCTGGTCTTCAAGAATGAAAAAGCAGCGAAAGAAAATAAATGAAGAAGCCAAACTAAGTGGTGAAAACATGCGACTCTTAATTGAAGGATCTGGGTTTCAATCACGTAGTCTCAGATGTTTTATTTTAAGTTTGATTTTTAGGGCATTTATTTTTTTGTTGCTTTTTTCCCTCTTTTTTGCCGTTTTGAGAGCCGTTTATTTTTATAGTGTGTCAATTGTTATATTCTCAAAATGTTACTATCTCAAAATTATAGTATGTTCTTGTACTAATTTTAAACCAAAACTTGGGACTGTTTATGAATAAATTATCAATGATCTTTTTCTCTTTAATCGTCGATGACTTTCATATAGGTCGTGATGGTTTTTTTTTCAGAAGACATTACATAGCCAAACTGTGCACTAGGTACGCTCACAATTTGTTGTCGGTATGTTCCTGGATTCCAGAGACAACTCTGTAAACATGTTCTAAAATGTAAGTGGAGTCTACTTACAAAATATACGTTGATTCCGCGTCCAAGTACCTGTAACGTAAAATATAGCTAGGTGTTCCGAATTCTGCAAATGTAAGCTAATTCCACAACTATAAGTGGATTGTAGTTTTGTTTGTTATACGGAAATGTCCTTGCGTGAACAATTAAGAGCTATAGCTAAAATTATTATATAGCAAATGCGGAATTTAAAACAAGAATTTAGCTATTGTTAGTGAATCCAATAACAAATCATTGTTTATCTAAAATCGTGGATATACCTCCTTTGTGTTTGGAATAAAGAAAATTTATTAATGATTCAGAATTTATAACCCATGAAATAATTTACCTCAAGTTCCTGTTTTCAGTATTTGAGATCGGAATTGTGTTCATTCTTTCAGTAATTGAGATCGGAAAATGTTCATTCTTTCCGTATTTGAGATCGGAAAATTGATTCCGTATTTGAGATCGAAAAGGAGTTCATTCTTTCAGTATTTGAGATCGGAAAGGTGTTCATTCTTTCAATTTTTGAGGTTTAGCTGATCAAATCAAATTGTTGACAAAATTGAGATTGAACGGTTGGACAGTCTCTCTGATGACCCACAAAAATAGCTTTAATTTAAAAATGTCATTTCAAGAACATAGCTATATATGTTACTGGAATCCGCAAACAAAATGCGGATATCACCTCAGTTTGCGGAATCTGCTTACAGTTGCGGATTCCGCAACAGCTCAATTTTACTATACCTATAGTTTATTATTTGTTTGTGGATTCAGCGAACTGTTCAGGATCCCGAAAATAATGTAGCGGATTCCGCAGGTTCGCCTATTTTTGGAGCAATTTTGAGCGGTATTGTTTTAGATATTTGTTTTGGAATTCAAAACAGAACAGAAGATCAAAGTAAAGTAGCAATGTTGCGGATTCCGCAACAAATCTGATTTTGGCCTATTGTCGATTCCGCTTATATTTCACAAAATGCACAGTTTGGCCTCGTAATGAAAAGTGCATTTATATACATTAATATATGCACTCTTTGAGTTAAATTTAATTTCATCAGCTAGTTTCGAAAGTGGAACTCAGTTTCCAGCCTTCCAAGCTCCATTTTACCTATACTGTCTTCTCAAATTGAGTTGATTTTGGCAAAAATGGTCAATCATAAATTTTTCTCGATATTCTGAAAGCTGTGAAGTCAAATATTGTTGACTTGAAATTGTAAAGTTGAATTAAAAAAAAACTTTTTTTCTTTTCGGTTTCCTTGCGTTCATTGTATTTTTTTCCAACTGTTTTTGGTTATGTTCTATATTTTATCAGTAAGTGGTGCATATGTCACAAATAAATACATTGATACAGAATTAACAACAGAGTTTATTTTTATCACGGCTGCAGTTTTTTGTTTGAGGGCATGGCACGACAAGCATACAGCTTTTTTGCTTGTCTTTGGTGTTTTGAAAACTAAATTAAATTACGTATTCTTCAATTCTGCTCATCTCACATGAATTGATTCGAATTGAAATGTTTAAATGAGATTTTTGAATGCAGGTTTGTGAATTTGGGCAACACTTGCTACATGAATGCAGTGCTGCAGGCCCTCCTTGCTGTGTACTCGTTCCAGTGTGACCTAATGAGACCTGAACACGTCAAAGCAGTGTGCGAGGAATTCTTTCTCCCCCAAGTGGGTTCGGTGTTCAAGTCGGCATTGGACGAATTCGATCATGCGCTAGTTGAGAACAAAGAGAACGAAATGGCAAAAAGTGTGAACAATGGTGTCAAAACTAGGCTTTACAGGTCAGTTTTTTCATAGTGGGTTTAAAACAATCGAATTAGATGTAAGATTTTTACAATAGTTTTTCCTCTAATACTGGGCAAAAAAATGAAGCAGATAGTAAATGTTGAGAAGTCTGTTGTCCAAAAAGAACTAGATTTTGGAACCATTTGAATTTGGGTTCCATAGATTTTTTGGAACGCTGAAGTATAGTGGTCTGCTTATCCAGGAATACAAGCTGTAGTTAACTAAGTCTCGTACCTGACTTATCTTCACCTTTCTGCTGGCGCCCGAACTTCGTAGGTAAACTCCGAACGTCTCTTAATTACTAGAGAAAATGCAAGTGGATCACCATACGATTTTATAGCTGCTTCCGAAAATCTATGAACCTCAAATTGAAATGGTGGTTCCTAGATTTAGTTAATTGGACTTCTGATTCGAAATTATCGCTGTAAATAATCTCGCTTTGTGTTACCTTTTCAAACAAGGGATCTCTGATATGCAGGGTATTGATCAAGCTGCTGGCTGACAAGATGAAGCGGGACAAGGGTCTGTGTCAGCAGGGATCTCTAGACAGCAGGACCCAGTTCCTCCACTCTCTGAAGAAGGCTGTCGCATCAGTCGAACAACAGTTCTCAGGATCGCTGCAGAATGTAGGGCTAAATTATGAAATGATCGATTTTTTTTTCGAATAATAGTTCATTTTTGAGTCTTTGGCAAAATAGTGACATTGTGGCGCATCGGTAGTGATGGAGCCCAGTAATCATATGATTGCGGATTCAGATCGAACGTGCGCTGCAACTTACAAGTTGAGCGCTGGCAAGATAGCCATAGCTTAGTTAACCTTAAATAAAATACCTCCGGGTGTCTGAAAAGTTATTATCATTGCTCAAATGGAATCGTTTTTTTTTTTTAGTTTTCCGTTGTTTCTAGGATGCACATGAGTTTCTTAGCTTGTTCCTCGACATCCTTCGTGAAGAAGTGGTCAGAATAAACTCCCGAGTCTCTGTCAAATTGGAAAAGAGCTCATCTTCGAATGCGGATTCAATAGTATGTCCTGTCAATTCTAACTTTCAGTTGACTGTCAGACACACAATAACGTGCACCGGTTGTCAACTGAAACAGGAACACGATGAAAAAATGTTGATTCTGTCTGTGAACCTTCCTGTTGAAATGTAAGTTTCTTTTTGCGGTTAAAAGGAATTTTGGAGCAGCAATGATTTTCAAGTTCAAAATTATCAAAAGGCATTAGAAAATGATAAATTCTGAACGCAAAATAAATACCAAAAGGTATAACTTTTTTCATACTTTCTTGAGAGTTTTTAGATAATTGCATTTATAACCTAAATGCTATAAATGCATTTAAGATAACTTAAATGTATTTTTGTATTTTCATGTTTGGGCATTTATGTCTTCCCTTTCCCCCCTTATGATGCAAGATTTGGACCAAAAAATGCGTTTAAAACAAAAACCCGTAGAATCATGTGAAAGTTGAGAAATAGTAAAAGTTGAAAAGGAATTGGGTCCTTTTCACTATATTCTCCTGTAAATTAAAATCCCACCATCATTCGAAATGTCTCTACGCTCAGGGTGCTTTAAATGTAAATAGCCTAGAAACAAATCTTAGTCTTCGACGAAGAACAGTCTATTTGATACTGATTGCTAGAATTTTTCAGTGAATCGGAGACAGTGGACCGATCGACAATTTTTGACCTGGTTTGCAATTACTTCTGTGAAGAGTCACTGGAATACACGTGCGATGAGTGTGGTCACAGGGAAGCTAAACTGACTCACGAATTGCTCACTCTACCGAGAGTGTTAGTGGTGCACCTCAAAAGATACCAGGTCTGCTAATGACCATACTATGCAATCAATTTTTCATCCTCTCCACTAAGTAGAATCTAGGGCCGTTTCAGCCATTTTACAATGTTATGTGTGAGTTGTGAAATTAAAATGTGATTGGTTGGTATCGAGAAACAGAAAACTTTCTGGAATTTTTTTTGCCAATCAAATTATGACTCCTTATGATTTTTTGTGGTTTTGCCTGGAAAATTGAACCAGTATGCAAACGTTCATTTCCAAATGTTGTCGTCGAAATAAAACGGAACGGTTTGAAAATGTGTGGTATAAATCAATGTTCGTCCCAAAATTAAATTGAATTTGCATACTTTTCAGAGATTATAGTTAAGAACATTAATAAACTCCTAAATTTTTGTATTTAAAAATGGGTTTGACCAGGTCGGTGGCGAGGGTCTCATCAAGGACTTCAGGAAGGTGCGCATCTCGAAGTACCTTTCAATGACGAAGCTAATACATGAGCACTGTGAGCTGCCTTCAGTTGCAGAAGGAGCATTCGAGGAACCAAAGATGTTAGTGTTTGTCCAGTTTATATTTAATAGTTTTGAGGGGGAAGCGAGCGCCAAAAACTCTATTTTTTGGTCAATTTTTCAAAAGTGCCTAAAAACCTTCTTATTTCTTTTTATAGATCCCACTTTTTTGTCGAACTTGTTTGTCGTGCTCTGGCTAGTGTTTGCGAAGCACAGCTTCGCCTCTGTATAAATTATTGTTTTTAAAAATGTTTTTGGAACTGAATTAGCAAAAATAGTTTTTTGCAAAACTCGCTAGTCTAAATATGTTAGTCGAAACAATAAAAAAATACAATTATTGAATAGAATGCTGTTATAAATTATGTCTCACTAAAAGCTACTGTATGTAATTTAGAGCAGATTTTGACCTTTACGTCACTCCGAAGAATCCTGAAAGCAGAATCGACCGACTGAATCTAGAAGAAGAAAAGAGAGAGAATGAAACAGATGAAGATGGATTCGCACCTGATAACATAGAGGACGATTTGTTGATTTTGGAGGATGAGGTTAAGGCGGAAACAGAGGCACTTACGCGTGATGATGAGAGTCATTTGAAAAATATTTCATTAACAGAAAACAGGTTAATTCTATTTTGTCGGTTTTTGCACCAATTTCTTTCCCGTACGGTCTTCACATTATTTTCATAAAATTTTGAGGCTTCATTTGATTTTTGTTCAGTGGAGCAACCTGATTGTCTCGTTTCTCGAAATAGGAGAAAAGTGATTTTTGTCAAACTTTTTGACGTTGCAGGCGTATGGGTTTTTAAAAAAATCTGCTTTAGGCATTTTTTAAAAACTTAGAAAAAATCTTAGGCATTTCTTTCGAAAAAAGCAACGTTATTTTATTATGCGCGATACATTCTGAAATTCGAAATTTGGGACGAATTGAAGCTCATGATTTTCGTGTATCCTTAAAAAGATGGATCGGTCCGATAAAAAGGGATGTTATCAGATGCTAACTGCTGAGGAGTCTTATTCGTGCGGAGGTAAGAGTGTTTCTGCCCGCCCCTTTCTCCGCTCATTGATTGTGCAAAACATCAAGTAGCTTGTACTGAATAACTGATGCGCCTAAACTGGGCATAAAATAATGAGTCTAGTCGATGCTGTTAAATTCACGTTTGAGCTAAATTTCCTGAAATTCTCTTAGGAGTATTTTTATTTGTTTTAGAATAATGACGAATAGTTCCAATACCAATAAGGCCTCCGGGGGTGCAGAGGCAAAGTTAAGAACGCCGACTAAAACTCCTCCGACTAAATTTTTTGGCCGATCGTCTCAGAAGAAAAAGCGACTATCTCTATCAGATCGCAAAGTTATTTCTCCAATCAGAAAGAGCTGTAGCCTTAAATCAGCTAGCAATAGCGACAAGGGACCTAGGGGACGAGATCGGGCTTCGAGACTCTTCGAAGATGCATGTGTCAGTCGCGAGGATCTCAAATACGTCCATCCGGAAGATGCAGCCAACGTGACACCGAGAAAATCGAAACGCATCGCAATAAAAGAAGATGAGAAATGTGCAAGGAAAATCGAAGTTTCCGACAAATTACAGAACTCAAAAGCTTGGAAATGTGACAGCAAACCCCAAGGATCGCTAGCTGATTATTGGAACCATAAAGGCAATAGAAAAACTACGGAAACTGCGGTTTTGAGAAACGAGGAAAGCGCTGATGAGGTTTGTCCTTTAATCCGTAAAGTTACTCTCGTCGATTTGAAATCACGTCATTTAAATCTTAAAAATAAAAAAGTTTGCCGAACAAAGTCGCATATTTTGTTGCGCAGTTTTCACAAACTGCTTTGCGCTTAATTTACGAAGTGAAAAATATCGACGACCTCTGCTAGAGCAACTTAATGACGATGTTTTATGAAGTTAAATTACCGTAAGTTTTTTTTATTTTCCGAACTTACTTGAAAAATGGTTTGTATCTATCTTCATGTGATGATTAAGGGGACTGATTTGGCGCCTGGCAAGAAGCGGAAACGAGCAAATTCTCCTCCTCCTTATCGGCCAACGGAAGATTCAGACACAGAAGAAAAGGATGATGCAGAGTTTCAAAAAGTATGTGATGACATGGAGGATTTCTCAACAAATTGATGATAATTATAGAAGAAAGCTCGTGTTATATTACGAGTTGACTTTTTGCGACTTAACTGGCATAAATTAGGACTTTTACTGCATAATAATAGCATTTTAGCTTTGGCAGTTCAATGGCGCATGTATAATGCAGTTGATTGGCGGCTAGTGTTTGAAAAAAAACGCAGTTGTGAAGACATTATGCTCTAATTCTGAAAATAGTGAAATCGAAGCTTTCCGAATCCTATTTTTTTAAGAGTCGATGAACGTAGTTCAGACTCTTATTTAGGTAACGGTGATTTTTTTTTAGTAAAAGTATAATTATTTGTTCAAGCTCAGGTTCACTTTTTCGCGGTTTGACTTTTGATTTCATTTCCTTTGTTAAAAGGAAGGCAAACTCCACAATCGAACAGCGAAAGTGTAAGAGTCACGAAAAAAGTGACCGGCTTCTAGCTTCGAAGGTGGAATTTAATTTTCAGACTTCCCATCGAAATAAAGTAAGTCTTGGTGATTTTTTTTCAGGAAAAAGTATTAAACTGCTCTAATAACTACAGATGTGCATTGATACATATTAATGCATTTATGAATGCACTTAGGTATTAATGAACTTTTTGAATTCAATTGAAATTCATCTGCTGAAAGTGACGTAAATAGCACTCTCCAATTACGAACGTGGAAATAGCGCAAAAAATTGTGAACAATTTCTAGTTTTGAAAGTTGAATTTAGTTTTTAGATTTCCAGCGGAATGAAAATTTAAGCTATTGATCCAGGTTTCTCAAGTTGGGTTAATGTTATAACAAAAGCGCCAATCATAAATTGTTCTAGAAATCTATTTTTTTCTTTGAAATTTGAAAGTTGAGATTTTAAAAACTAAGTTTGTTAAAAACTAAAATTAAAAACTAAAAGAAAATGTTTTTTTTTCTGTTTTTTTTTGCGTTCATTACTATTTTCCAACTGTCATTTAGCTATGTTCTAAAAAGTGCCTTCATATATTGTTCTTGAAATTCAAAGAGTTGTAAGGGAATCTATTTTTTCTTTTTCAAAGAACAAGTCAATATTTTTTTGTTTACTTGCGTTCAATCAAGCTTACTGAATTAGTGAGTTTCACGTGAAAGTATTAAAAATAAACGCATTCAAAAATACTTTTTCTTAGAGAAAAAGTTTGCCAAAGAACACAAAAAATTATCTTTAATTCTTAAATTCAAATCAATCAATTGAAACTGAGGTGAGGCTGCGCGTTGCAAACACCGCCAAAAATAGCAAACGGGAGATTTGAAATGCAATTAAGTATAAATATTTTTAAAAACATAGCCAACAGACGTGTTCATTTACTCTTTTCGAACTGAAGCCTTAATAGTTGCCCTTGCTCTTTTTATGGGAATAAAAGGCGAATTTAAACTCATTTTGGTAGTGTAGTTTTTAATCATTTTTTGGTGAATTTTGATGATGACGGGAAAGATGATAGTAGACCTTTTAGCTGGACAATTTTCTACTTTTTTTAATAAGTTTAATCACAAGATTTTCGATCTTTTTTACCCTTGCGATTTTTTTCCGTAAACAACTTGGTTCACAGGATCTCCAATTTTAGAATTTTTTCCAGTTTCACTCAGGTTGTTTTTAAAAGCGCCATTTCTTGGCCTAGAGTTTAAATGTGCTTGGTCAACTGCTGAAAACCTTTTCAAATTTAATTAGCTTTTATGATTTTGTCCCCATTTTGTCCTCGTATTTGCCGGGTGTTTTTTTTCTAACACTATTCTTTAAAATTCTTTAATTCAACTCAATTTTGAAGAATTTATCTATCCTATATGTTTTTGTTTCTATACACGCTGAAACTTTCAGTTTGAAAATAAAAAGAAGCGGTTTTCTTTTTGATTTTTTGAATTTTCTTTCCAATTTTTTTTATCTCTTTTGAATGATTGGTTCCAATTTTTTTAAATTGTTTTGAGAGTGTTTACAATTAGCTCAAAACAAGTTAGCGTATTGTTTTTTCAAGCAATTTTATCTCAAATCCATTTAAGATGATGGCACAGCGTATTGTTTTGTCTCACTTTTTTTGGTTTCTGGAACGTTTTGTTTGATATTTTTGACTTGACGGTTTTGTCTGGGAAGGTGTTATTTATAAATTCGATCAACTATCTGACTTCGAGGTAACACACCTGCGTGAGACGCCAAAGCCCGGGAGTTCGATTCCAGTCGGGATATGTTTTGTTTATACGATTATAGATTATTGTCTCTCTGCTTACTTTGGTCTGCTAAGTTCCCATATTTAGGTGTTTTTTTTTAAATTCGGATCCTTATAGCATTCCAAAAGCTCGGTTGAAATTTTATAAAAGGGCAGGTAATTTTGTTCCGGATATTTTGGGTTTTTTCACATTTTTTATATTTTTTTTTGACAAAAACCATTTGATGAAAATTATTTTTTCATTTTTTTTTATTGTAATCATAGTCATTCATTTTTATATCGCAAGGAGTACGAAGCTAAGTTTCTTCTCAAGTGTAAAATTTAGATCCTTTGGGAACAATTTTTTCGACCACCTATTTTTTAAAATTTTCTCGGTTGTATCATTTCATGGCGATAATGCGAAGCCGCGTCGAAAAGACTTGAACGTATAAGGGAAGGATCAAGATTCGAGCCAAAATTTCACAAAAAAGTGAATTTGTTTTTTAAAAAGTTGGGGAAAAGTCTTGAAAGTTGTTCATTCCCCAATTTACTTTTTACAGTTAAATTTTTGACCGGCGTGAGAAACTGTCTCCTAGTATATCTAAAAAACATTCATCTATTTAAAAGTAGCATAATTTTCAAGAGCATAAAAGTAGCATAAATATTCATCCAAGTTTTCAAGAGCTTTATTTTGGTGCAATTGTTAATTCGAAAATTGAAATTGTTTCTACATTTGAAATTTTTCAAAAAAAAGTCTTTTTTGTTTTTTGGTGGCTATATTTTCCAATTTTGAAGTACCAGTGAACGTGGCGAGAACAATTATGTGGGTCGTTTTCTTTATTTAAGAGTAATGAACGCTGTAAGTACCCTTATGTAGCTCTTGGTGTTTTTTTGTTGTTTTTTTTTCAGAGAAAAGTCTCAAAATTTGTTCTCGCTCAATTTTGATTTTTCGCGGTCTGACTTTTGATTTCATTTCCTTTGTTAGTAGGAAGGCAAGCTCCACTATCGAACAGCAAAAATGTAAAGGTCATAAAAAAGCGTGATTGACTAGTTTCGAAAACGGAATTTAATTCGCAGCTTTTCCAGTGAAAAATTAGTTTTGCCCATTGGTCTAGTTTTTTTTAAAATTGGGTTAATTTTATCAAAAAGCATCAATCGTAAAGTGTTCTTGAAAGTCAAAAAGTTTCGAGGGTATATATTTGGTTTTTGAAATTCGAATGTTGAAGTAAGTCCGTTTTTTTGTTTCCTTGCGTTAATTACTTTTCCAACTGTCAGTTGGCTATGTTTTTTTTAGTTAGAGTGAATTATAATTACTAAATTTCTAAGCAGAATAAATTTAGTTGTATCAAAAAATATCATTTCCAGCTTATTGATAGCATGTGCTTTGACAGTCGAATAGTAATAAGTTAACACTGTTGATGTAATTTTAATTCATCAATTGAACTGACAAAAGCGATTTGTTTCAAATAACATAACAATGATTAAAACTCGATTTCAGAAGTTTTTTTCAACTTAATACATCTAACAATTTTTTGAAATGCTTAACTTTTACACAGTGTGGCTTTATGCTTCGCAAGCTCTTACCTGCAAAATGTGTCTTTTTGTATTTGGTGCTATTTTTGCTGCATCGAATTGGCAATTAATTTGCACATGTAGCTGCGTTATTGGTGGATAGTTTTTGGGAATTTTAAGCATCCAGGGCTGAGTTATTAGTGCGTGAGACTCAAATTTTCTAGGTCGCAGATTTGAATCCGACAGGTAGAAGAGTTTTTGCTAATTCGAGTCTTAGTTGTACTTTTCTTATTTCACATTATAGAGCTGCATTTTGATCGTGTTCTCTCAAATTTTTGCGAAGCTCAATTTCATCTCTGTGTTGATTTTTAGTAAGGGACAGGAGTTGAGTTAGGTAATAAGCGATACGAATCAGCTAATTATAGCTAAATTAAATAGAAATCACAAAATATATAGACTGGAATAACCGCGACACGTTGGAAATTGATCTGGAGAAAAAGCAGTACAGTTTTTTGGACACGGGGAGAAAGTTTTTTGAATTTTCTTTTGGAAATCTTAATCCCTAATGAATGGTTTCGCCAAGAAAAAAATTTAGGGTCCGAAACTGGATATCGCAAAATAGTAAAGGGGACCGCCTCCCTAAATCCGCTGGTGGGTTTGTTTTTGATGCCACAATTGACCTTTCGATAGCAGCAGTCTTTGAGGTGCCTAAAATTAGGACATACTTTTTTCCCACTTTCCCGTGTGAAAGTTATTTATATAGTTGTTTGAGCACTTGTTTTCATGGTTTTAATGAACGTTCTGTGAATATATTGTTTTCAGAGAAATCATGTTTCATTCAAAAATTCAAAAACAGACTTGGTAACAACAAAAATGTATTGTTTGATTATTTCATTTTTCGTGTGACGACTCATTTTTCTTCAAAGTTTTATTATTTTCATAACTGAATTGCATTTGGTTTGCTCTCAATCCGGTATAGAGGTCTAGAATGTCAACGTTTATGCCCAAAGTACAGATTTCCACTGAAGAAATCTTTTCGAGTTGGTTAGTTGAAAGAGTCGTCCTTCGTGAAGCTTGAAGCAGCTTGGTTGCCTCTTGTTACGACGTGTAGATGAAATTTCCAAGATTTCAAAACCTTAGTTTTCAATTTTCTTTTGAAAAGTTGTGTTCATGTTCAGCTGTTTTCAGATTTTGTTTTCAAGCTTTTCGCAAACGTTTGCTCTGTTAAACATGTTATGCAGAAAAATGTCAGTCATGGAAGTTCGTACAATTTTGTGAACTTTGTTAGATGCAAAAATTGAAAGTTTTTTAAATGATTTTGAAAGTTAAACATTTCTTAAAAGAAATTTTATTGCGACAAGGTTATTTGTGCAGAGCAGAGACATTGAAATTTTAAGGCTGTGCAATTGAGTCTGCTGGAAGCTCCAATTGACGATAACTATGACGAAGACCTGGAGAAGGCGCTGGCATTGAGCAGGATGGAGATGCATAATGGCCTTGAGTTCCCACCCGGATTCGAAGAACAGATTTTTGAGAATGAGAAGTCGGAAGACAAGTTTAAGGGGACTGTGCTAGGCGATGACTTCCTCAACTCAAATGGTCAGTCCGTCAAGCATAGTCGGCTATTTTTCTTTCCTGCAATTTTTATGGAAGATGGGAAATTTGTAGTTATTTCATCGCCCGTTTTTGAATTACTTCTTATAATTGGGCAGTTTTTAAAGATGATTTATGTTTTTGCCGCAGGGTTTGATGATGACATATCTGCAAAATGTGAGCAGCATCAGCTTCCAAAAATGGATGGTGGTCGTGTTAATAAGCCACTGAATATTATCAAAGAAGAGGAAGTGGTTGATATAAGGAGTGAAGATGAAGAACCAGAGCTGATAGAGATCAGTTTGAATCCAAAATCAGAAGGAGCTGATACGAGCATGGTTCAAAATGGACCGAAGCTGGAGGTCAAATCAGAGGTCAAGAATGATGGAATGAATTTTGCTCTGGTCGATAACCACGAGGAAGAAGATATGGATGTGGAGACCCTGGATGATGATGAATCTGCTGATGAGAAGCCTAGTGGGAGAACCACACCTCCTCCAGTTGATATAAGTCTAGGTTAATGTTCTGGAAATGAGAAATTACCTATTTTATGTTTACAGGATTTTACGAATCAGAGCTATGGGATGAGATATCTCTATTTTATGGATTTTCTGTTTAGATAGTTAACATTTGGATCTCATTTTCTTGGAAGACTTAATTGAAATGCGCTCGAAGCTAAGACCAATTTTTTTGCAGTCTACTTGTGCTGCGCGATTTTGAAGTTTAACCGATCTTAAAGTTTGATCCATCTATTTTTTCTCATCGACGTTTTGTGGTAGAAATCGGATTTTGTTTCAGCTGCGCTTCAAGTTACAAGCACGCCATCCAATAAAGGTAGAAAATGTGAGTCATTTTGATTTTATTTTGAGAGTGATGATTAATAGAAAAAAATTTATGCGTGTCTGATTTTCAGCTTCTGGACTACCTGATATTGCCAAACTTTTAGACGAAAGTTTTATTATCAGTCCTACCTCCGAAAACCCAGGCAGTCTCGAACTAAGTTCGTATAGCATGCGAACCCAAGACGATGTCTTTTCTGAAATCCCTGCAGAGGCAGAAGAGTCTTTTAGAGAAGAAGATTTTATCCCATTTTCTGTCATCGGGGATCCGAATTCAAATGAACATGTTCTAAATCAGAGGATAGAAGAGACAGAGACGTCTATTGACAAGTCAAGTCAAGATTCGAAGAGAGATAATAAAATCGATGAGCGAACTACAGGTTGGTACAAAAATAATTGTTTTTTTAAGACGATATTTTTAACGATGAAAGGATCGACACATGTGCTGTTCAGCTTTTCACAGAGAACCGCTTTTGTGGCCCTGCTTATTAACTGCAAATCAGAATTTTTGTGAACCCGATTTTTAAAACGCTTCTAAAGCACACTCACCGATTTCAAAAAGCCATTGAGGAAGCCCCCACCACCAAAAATTTCTCCTATAAAACCGCCAGACGTCTCTATGACCAAACTGACGCTCTCCACGCTCAAAGACACACCCTCGCTCAAATAAGATCAGGCTACGGTCCCCGGCTACCCTACACTGCGCTACATCTTTTTAACGTTCCCCAACTGCCCTGGCCCAATAGACCTGTGACTTTGACCGATTTAGGCCGCAACGTTCCTTAGACTCGGCGAGACACTGCTGGACGCGCCCTAAATATCGGACTGAACACAACAACAACAACGCACTTTTGAAGCCATAACAAGATGAGAATTTAAAACGATTAATTGGTATAAACGAAAGCAGCCATAATTAACGGACAATTTTGCCATAATAGCGAAACAATTTTGTAACCGTTATACAAGTTACGGATCTTTCAACACAAACTACCTAATTTTTGGATTGTGCTGGTTTACTCACAATGAATAAATTGGTTAATAAATTTAATTGATTTAGAGGAGACGACTATTGTGAAACAAGAAGATCTGAAAGATGAGGATGAGGGAACTACTGGTCTTGTTGCTGAGGAAGAAAGTTCTGCAAAAACAGACGAGGAAAAAGAACCAGTTAATGAAGAAGAACAGATCAAAGGGGTATTTGCTTTTATTTAGTTCTGCTAATTTTAACCAAAATTATCTAAATTTTTCATCATTTAAGGTGAGCAGATAATAGTTGTGATAAAAGCTTACCGCGGCGATCTTATCAATACTGGGGGCTATTCTCATGCGCGAAGGACCGAATGAGCGAAAAAACTCGTGACCGATTGACCGAAAATAAAATTAGCCGGAAGTCAAATTTTAGAAAGAAGCTATTGCCATTCAATTAAATGAAGCAATATTTCGCTTCTTTTATATTGAAATTCGAAAAATAAAATTTGTTACAATTCGGCGGAGTCAGTGACAATTTGGAAATTTTGCATATTTCTGCCGATTTTATATTCGGCCCATATCAATATTCTAGTCCCTGGAGATGTTTTTAACTTACATGTGCTTTTTTCAAATTTTAGATAAAATTTTTTTCAGTTGTTTTTTGATTTTGCGATTTCTTTGAAAAGTTTTGGTCCAGAATTTTAGTCCGGAGCTGTAATCAAACGACGAGGAGCATCAATGTTTTATTTCAAATTCAGGAGTTTTAAGTTCCCATTTCATGTTGCGGGCATTCATGAATTCAGTTTTCGTTCGTCTCTGTTGATATTTATTACGGTACAATTAAACAAAGGAACAACTCTGTTTAGGTCTTCTCGAGTGATTTAATTTTTTGAATCACTGTTTTCAATTTTGAGATCTAACATAGTATCATCTGTGTAAACTTGATATTGAAAACAGCTCCATTCCAAAAGTTTGTGAGAAGTAACATACTTGGCATAAATTAGGGGACCACCTAGTAAAGATCCCCGTGTATCGCCTGAATTATTAAGTGTTGATGAACGTAGTTCAGAGTCTTATTTTGGTCGCGATGAACTTTTTTCGTCATTTTTTATCTATTGATACGGTGTTCTCAAATTGGATTAGTTTGATCAGAAAAGTGTCAATCACAAATTGTTCTGGAAATTCGAAAAGCTTCAAGACCATCTATTTTTTCCGCTGAATTCGAAACTTTTTCAAAAACAACAAGTCAATATTTTTTTCTGTTACCTTGCATTCATTGACTATTTTCCAACTATCTCTTGGCTATGTTTTGTTTTTGGGTTTTGAGCTCGAGTTTAATTCTAAAGTATCAAACTAAAGTTCTAAAGTTAATTCTAAATCACTAAAGTAGAAGTTTTTTCTAAGGCCCTCTTTTCTGGATGAATTTTTTTGTACCCCGTTTGCTTGCCCTAAAATGATTCCTTAGTTGCACTTAAATCAGTTTCTCAAAAAGCTTCTTGAAAAAATTGGAAGTTTGATAGGGCATGTATGAAAAATTACTATTTTGATTAGAATGAGGTTTCCTTAACTCAGGTTTAATGACCATTTTTTGAACACTAGTTGAGTCGATTGACACTAGTTGAGTTGATTGATTGAAATCAAAAGTTTTCAATTCAACAGATCCTTTCATGATCATACCACGCACAAAAATGGCACTAATTTGAAAAAAAAATCATTTTAGTTTTGTTAAGAAAATGGTCGGAACATTCTGTGCCATTTGCACAACAAATGGCTATCTTTGTTTCAATCTTGTTTTGGTAGTTATAAGTTGTTGTTGTTTCTTCGCTTGTCGAGTTTGATCGGAAACGTTTCATGTTGTTCGTGGAATCATTTCGCTCTCTCCTTAGTCTTTGTTTCGTTCCCTTTGCATCAGTGATGTCAAATTATCAGTTAAATGTAAAATTATGAGCCCACTCAATTTAATTGAAAATTTTCATTTCAAATAGAACAATTTAAATTGAAAAGAAAGTTAAATTGCTCAGGCGGTATTCGATTCGACGCCAAAGTTCAGAGTTTACTCATAGTAATTAATTTCACGTTTCGCTGAAAAACCAAACAATCTAAATTTTCACGAAAAATTTGATGAATTTTTAGCAAATAGGTATGCCCAAAAAATTGCTTTGGAATTTTTTCACAAAATTGTAAAAAGTCCCCAAATTTGGCAGAAAAACTGCTAAAGAGACTGAACAAAAATTTAAATTTCATAAGAAAAATTCAAATAGTTTCGGAAAAATTTAAATTGCTGCCAACAATTTTTATAATTTTCTTAAACAATTTAAATTTCAATTTTTATTTTTTTAAATGGACATCACTGCTTTGAATCTTATCTTTTTTTCCTAATAAAAGACCATTGCTTGTTTGTTTGTGGTAATTCTGTCACGGTGTGCGAAAATTTCTCTTTGTTCACGATCATCTGATTCTTCGTGGAAAGATGAAGTAAGGAGGAACTCTGGCGTAGCTTGTGTTTTTGTCCTCCCAATTTGGACTACCTAAAGAAATCTGGTAGGTGTAAATTTTGGTTTCATATTGAATTTCTCTACTTAAATCGTTGTCATCGGACCTTTCTGTGCTACTTGCTCAGCAATCAGCTATCCTTGTTTAAGTTAATCACAGCTACGAAGAATTGATAGGGCTTGCTTGAGGGTGTTAAGTTGCGCTCATTTCAAAAAACCTTGATAATGGCCTTCTTATCCGGGTAAGGGTCCGAATTTTTTTTTTTTGAAAAGTTATGATAAGAATCCGACTTTTTTTGAAAAACTATGAATACAGTCATGAATGAAATGCAATGCCCCTGTAATTTCCCAGCTGGACCCTAGTCACACGTACCGTCTGTTGAGTATCATCTGTCATCTGGGCCATTCTGTCTCTGGAGGACACTATGTGAGTGATGTGTACAACCCTAAGACAGACTCCTGGTCCTGTTTCGACGACGAGACAGTCACCAACAGGGAAGAGAGGAATGTGTTAGTCAGTAGACAGAAGCCAGGATACATTTTCTTCTACATGCATCAGTAAGTAGTATGATTAAGAACGTCTACGCGGGCGGGGCTGATTTGGTCGGGGAGGGGGTCTGACTATACAATCCAAGTCTCGTGCAAATGCGGAGGAAATATTATGGTTGCTTAAATTGGAATTTTTGCAATTCCATAGAAGCTTGAGCTGAGAAACTTGATTTGTGTTTCTATTATTTTTGTTGTGCAAACTTAAAATTTCAGAAGTTGCTGTAAAATTCGAACTAATTTTAGTCTTGATTTTAATGTCATTTTCGGATTTGATGTCATTTTCGCCACTAATTGCTTGACAATCGGGTAATTTTATTAATGGGTTTCCTGTTTTCTTTCGGACTTACAACTTTTGTGCGATGAGATTTTCCTTCCCATAATTTCCTGTCCAATTTTCATAGTTGCAATTGCTTCTGTGGCGATGTCAATTTTCAAAGAGTAGGAGTTAAGTATTGTCCAGGGTGGTTCTTTTTCTACGGTGGCAAAACTATACTTCAAAAAAGTTCTCTCTGTGTCGAGCAAACCGGAGTGAGTTTTTGCTATTCAGACTAAGAATTGCTCCCAATTTATTTGATATTAGAATTTTTTCTAGCTTGTCTCAGCTATTGTTATTGTTCCGACCATTGAAAATGGAGAGGAACTTAGTATTCGGGTGAGTTTTAGTTTTTTTTTTGCTTTTTTACACGCAAAATCAGGTACCGAAAATATTGATCACACTGGGTTGAGTGGTATATTATATTAAAGCCCTTCAGTCGTAATTCGAACGACATTGAAAAATTTTGAAAATTTTTTCACAGTGGTGAGAAAAACCGGTATGAAATTTTTCATTTTTGGTCTAATTTCGAGCTAAAAGGTGACCGTGTATAGTCTTACAATAGCATATTTAAGCATAATTTAAGCCGTGAAAACTTATTTTTTCTCAAATAAAAGTAGTTTTCGGAATTTTTAGCGCAATTTTGAGGTTCAAAAACTTGAAAATTCAAAACATTTCTGCAAAAAAAATTGAAACAATTTTGAAATTTTTTCAAATTTTTTTTTCGTTTTTCTATTCATTTTCTTCAAAAACTGTTTTACAATTGACCTATTTTGTTATGACTTTGAAATATGCCTAAGTTTTATTTTTTCCTTTAGTTCTTATTATCACAACATGCAGAAAAAACGACAACGACACCATTTTGAAAAAAAAAACTTTTTTTTGTATTTTTTAAGACTGTGGACGGAACATTCTGAGCTACTTGCACATTAACCGGCTATCCTTGTTTATTTCTTATATAGTAAAAAAATATTGATACTCAGAGGAACACTGAAATGAAATTTTGAAAAATTCTGTGTCACATTTATTGAAACATATATTCTGTGAGTTATAAGCTTCTTGTTTCAGGTCAATTTTTCCCGAAGCCGAAAGAGAAAGACAAAACAAAGCAGATTCCGCGGAAACATGACATGAACAAATTTTTGTTCTCAAATGATACTATTGATTTTTTCGAGATTGATTTGTAATTGATTGCTTGAAAGCTTTATTAGCTGACTTTTAAGCTGCTGATTCTTGTGTTGCTGAAAGAATTTAGCTCTACCATATTCTTCGTCTCTTTTCAAATGTTTTCTCATAGAAGCTTAATTGTTTCAAAAAAACTGAATCAATTAAAGTTCCTTGAAATTCATAACAGGTTTTAGATGAGATTTCTTTAAATTGAAAACTTGGTATTTTCCTGGAAAACCTAGTTTTTTTTTTTTCAGTAACACGTTTCCAGCTGTCTGTTGGCTATGTTTTCTTGTTGATGTTTTGTTAAATTCTGCGTCGTAGTATAATTTTTGCTGTATGATGCTGAAATTAATATTGATTTGATTTATTTTATTTGAAATAATTGTATCCAAGGTTTTAAGAAGTGCTTTAAATAGCGACTAGAAAGAAAGGTTTTATGGCGATTTGAGAAACAGGTAAAGTTGAGCTTTTAACATACAGCAGTTGTAGCGTATTTAAAGGGGACGTCCCCCCTCTGGGATTTGACACCCTGACTACCCAAAGAGTCCCCCGTTGTTACTTTTTAAGACCTCAACTTTACTAAAAACATTTCTAGAGGCACATTCTGCGGCAGTATATACTATTTTTAAGAGGGTAGAGCGCCAAAAAAACAGTCTTTAGGTCAAAACTGTCCTATAAGTGCCTAAAACACACCTGTTTTTGGCGTGGTTTTTCAATATTGCGCAAAAAAAATTTGGCCAAAACGGCCTTTTTTGGTGATTTGCGAGCGCTCGGAATTTGCGAACGCTCGCTTGACAAAGTTTTCAAAACTTATTTGAAAATCCGCCCCCTCGAGAAAATCTTAGTTCTGCTCCTGTGTAGCAGCTATCTTTTTGATGTCGTAAGCTGAAAATTTTGGTGGCATTTTTGCGATAGTCACGATTTGTAGCAGTGTAAATTTCATAGCGTTTGATCTCTGCTTTAATTGTGGCTAGTGATTATGATCTATTAAGCGTCCGTGGCTGAGTGTTTAGTGCGTTAGACTCATAATCTCTAAGTCGCAGATCTAGCCGATTATTTTTTTTTGCTAATTCGAGGCTTATTTCTACTTTTTTTTGCTTTTTAGAGCTACTTTCTGTAGTGTTCTGGCTAGTGTTTGCGAAGCGAAACTTCGCCCCCTGTCGTAAAAGTTTCCGCAGTTTTCATCATAACAGGTTTGATTTTTTTGAGATTTATGTGGAGCCAGTAAAGCGAAAAACTTTCAAGCTTCAAAAATTTGGTGTTTGGTTGTGAAAAAACAGTCTTTTCAGCTTTATTTAGCAATTCCACGGTGCCAGAATTGCAAAAAAAAATCTGAAAATGAACCTAATTTTTAGATTTTTTTCGAAATATTGGTTTTGTTTTGCAGAGATAACTGCATTAAATTAAAGCTGTTATTCATAATCTAGGAAATTTTATTCTTCATCTGATCGAAAGACGCCCTAAAAGTAACTAGAATTGGGTGGGAAATGAAAGAAAAAATTGGCCGAAGCAATTTTTCTTTTTTTAACTATTTTTTGGTGCAAGAAAAGCCTTAAATCAATCTCAAAATCTCAGTTTTGGCTATTTGATTATTGATTCATCTGAAGTTCTTCTTCCAAATGATTTTTCACGCGTACATCAAAGTATGCTCCGAGAGAGTGGATCTGGAAGCGGCGCCAAAATAAAAGCTCAAATAAGTTCCATCAGTGCGGTTCATTTTTTCCAGGAAAAAGTCCCAGGAATTGGCCACACTGACATAATTTTTTTGCGGTTCGACTTGATTTTTTTTTCAACTCGTCTCAAATTACCCACTTACGGAAGTGCTAATGGCCCGAAAAGAAATCTTTTTTTTTTAATTTTCGAAATCGGAATTTACTTTTCAGGTTTTCAGCGGAATAAAAACTTACCTATTCAACCAGTATTTCCTAATTGGGTTATTGATATAAAAGATGTCTCAATGATAAAAGGTTCTTAAAGTTCATAGAAGTTTTTGGTTTCCTTGACTTCATTGACAGCATACTCTGTTGGCTGTTGTGTTGGTTGTGATTGAACTTACTTTCCTTTTAAGAATGTAATGAGAGAATCATTGGGATGGCTTAAGTTTATTTTTGACGGCCTCAAGTTCATCTTTGCACAGTGGAGCGGACCATGGCAGTACGGTGCAACGTTTTCCCTAACTAAGTCACAAATAAATTTGGTTCTATAGGAGATTTTTCTAAAGTGCTCGTTTAGGTCACAATTTCCAATCAGGGGCTGAAATGGCACTCTAATACCATGTGCTTTGCTATTTGATTTGTAATAAATTAACACAGTTGATGCTTTTTAAATCATCAATGCAAGCGAAAAAAGCTCTTTGTTTCATACAACAGTGCAATAATTAAAACTCTTTTTCAGAAATTCTCATACTCAAAATACTTGACGAAATTCTTGAAATTCACAATTTATACTAAATATGACTTTTCACACTACAATTTATTGCATGCAAAGTTAGTGTGGTTGCCTTTAGTTTATTATATTCCAAATTATTACATCCAAATTTTGTGTTTTTGTGCATTTCAGAGCTCTCGAATTTTTGGCCGCTTTTTCGCTTGCGAATCTGCAGGTTCGCCTGTGTTAAATTTCGAAAAATTATTTAAAATGATTACGAAAACCTGGAAAATTAATGTTTTTTTCTTTTTTATTTGCATTGAAATTTCCTGGCTTGAAAAATTATGAATTACACGGCAACACTTCTACTGCATCTACGTGATGTCCTGGAATCCTTGCGTTTTTCATCTCAAGTATTTTGCGAGAGGGGAAAGCGCCACCTTGTCTGTGTGTATTTTTGCTTTTCTTAGTTTTGTTACTTTTTTCAAAATGTCAGCATTTTCTTTCTCAGTTGAAGAGAGTTTTCAGTACAAAATAAAAGGAGGCATGACACTTTGTTTCAGTACTAACCACGGTCGTGTTTTTTCAGGTAGTTGAAAATGGCGAAGCGTTAACGCACGCCTAGTAATGGAACTAAACGCTGCAGGAAAAAGATAAGTCTCATTTGTAGAATGTATAGCATGATTTTGCTGGAGTGAATAACGTGCCAATAGCCATGCGATGCGTGGAGAGAAGGTTCCCTTTCGAGTCCGAGCGACTTTCGCCTCCTGTCGTGTTTCCGGACTGGCTCCAGCAACGCAAGTTCGGTTTATTGGCTGGAAGTCAGAAACATGCAGAGAGCAACGGGTTCAAGGATTCAATCAGTCTGATCTACAGAATGAAATTGGACAGGTGTTTTGAGGCTCATGATGGATGTGTGAACACAATTTTTTGGAATCAAAGTGGTAAATTCAATAAGTTTGATCATTCTGGCAATGATTAAACCCTGGTTTTGCGGTGCAAAATATTTTACTTTCATAATCCTTTTTTTCGATGCAATCTCAGTTTTTGAAATCGAAGTGAAACTTGCAGGATTTGTTTTCTCTTCGTTATATCTCTCTAAACTTGTTATAAGAGTATATAATGGGTCAAAAAGCTTGTCATTAGAATTGAATGGAAATCTATAGTTTATTTGAACTGTTGAGGCCGTCTTCTGCTGTCTGGATCTGATGATCTTCTTCTGAAGATCTGGAACCCCTTTGAAGGTCGATGTCTGACGAGCATCCGATCAGGCCACCGATCCAACATCTTCAACGCCAAGTTCCTCCCCTTCTCAGATGACGCCAAAATAGTGTCCTGTTCCGGCGATGGTCAGTTGATGTACACTGATGTGTTGAGACCGGAGACTTATGGCTCATTCAGGTTCACATGTCACCAGGTTAGCCAAATAAACCTTAGTCGGGCCTTCATGAATTTCATCCACATTTTAAATGGTTTTCAGGACTTTTTTGGACGAGCATCTTTGCAGTCGAATTTAGGTGGCATCTTGTATCTTACATACAAATCTGAAACGGGCGCTTCTACTAATTAAGTGGTCTGTCAAAGAGAAATCTTGGATTGAAGTTTTATTATCAAATTTTCCATAGATTCAAATAGCCGCAGTTGATTCAAATTTAAGAGCTTTCTTCAATTTCTTAAACCTGAAGAAACTCCATTGTCAGGCGCAAATGTTAACAATTTTAACATTTTAAAAGAATTGTCTCTATATTCCAGTGACCCAAGCACGCCAAAATGTGCGCCTATCTAGTGCACAGCTTGGCCTCGTAATTTTCTCGGTATTAATTTTTTAAAGCAGTCTAGAGTATTGGTTATTGTGCTTACTAAACATGCGTCGATATTTGTGATCTAACATCTTTATTTGTCGGTATTCGATGAGTTGTTGTGGATAGATAATTGAGTCGATTGCGCGTGTTTATCAGATAATGATTGTTGTATCAGTTGTCTTTGTGTTCAGGGATCCACTGCTGGAGTTGAAATTATAAACGAGGAGCCTTACTCATTCATATCCTGCGGGGAAGACGGATCAGTGCGACTTTTTGACACTAGAGTGAGGACCAGCTGCAAGAAACGGTAGTTTTGTATTTCGAAGCTGTTGAAAATTGATACTTTCTTGGAAGAAAAACAAGATTATGGGATTTTCATATCTCTATCTGCCGGATGCTTTCCGGATATAATATAGTCCCTTAAATATAAATGCGTTGCTAATAAGTCACTGATATGCTCCTGGAGTTTGCTAGATTGCTGATATGTTGGATGTTGTCGGCTTATGCTTCCTTGTTTTTATATAGTTCTTTTATAGGTCACTGCATCTTGCTCATCTTAATCGGATCTTTAGTTTCCGTCACACCAGAAAGTTTACCTAAACTTGAAAAAAAAACACACTTAAAACTTTGTTTCAAGATAAAGCTTTATCATATTGGATTGTCACGTAGTTTTCAGCCCAAATGAAAAAATTCAGAAATCAAAAGGCTGAGGGAACAAATTGAGAAACGCATTCATTATCACAACCAGGGATGTTGAAAAAAAATTGTGTGGTACAATTATTGCATTTCAATTTTTGTCAATTGTGTACTGCTCGTTCGACAAGCTTTTCAATTAGTTGTGTATGGAATTTACAACGAGCATATCTGATTCTAGATTCCTCTGCAATCATGACGTCATCTACAAGTCCTCGTGTGGAGTGAGTTCAATCGCAGTAAATCAGTTGAAACCCTGTCAGATGGCAGTGAGTTGCACTGATGGGATTGTGCGTCTGATGGACAGGCGCTTCATGGACCCCCAGAGCAGCAACAGGGGACTTAAAGGGGCATTCATGCGCTTCTGTCCACTCAACGCGCCCAAGTTAGCCACAGCAGACGCAATCTACAGTAATTTAGGATATTTTGTTCCCAAGTATTCTCAATTTCAAACCCCATGTTTTCGTGGAAATTAATCACAGGTAAAATAACTTTTTTAGTTTTGAGCTCAGGGTATCAATATCTTTTAGACTGTAAAAAATTCGTCAAAATTTGCTAGTTAAAAAGTCTGAAGAAAAAAACACCCCGAGCACTAATATTTCATCTTTTTAGTCTAAATTCGGAACAAACCGAATCATAGATTATAATGAAAGAAATAATAGTGTAGCTTTCACTATTTATGATTTCGGTTACTTATTTTGGTATCTTGTTTGTTGAAGTGAGAACGAAAACAGTGACAGGCCAGTGAGGAAGAGAATAACCAGTGTGAAGTTTTGTCCCCGCTCGGGTAAAGAAGTGCTCGTGAGTTACTCGGGAGACTCTTTATATCTGTTCGGAGTAGATGGACAGTACACCAGTCGCAGGACACGACTGAATGAGCAGTCCATGTGCTCGGAAAAGTAGGAATTTTCGTTCAGTGATTACTTTTTTGTCACAAGAACTGCCACATTAAGTGAATCTTCGAAACGGCTGCTGTAAAATTGACTATCAGGCAATAATACCACAATTACGTTCCGTTCCATGCGCGAATTAGAGAAGTGAGTCTAAAAATGCTACCTTAATTGAATTCAAAATTTAACAAAATCATTACTTTAAAATTGAGTTTAAAATCTGTCTCTGACGCTGTGAACGTTTATTTCTCCTTCTCTGTAGATGTGTGCTTAAGCCACACTCAATTAGTGATCTTCGTTTATATTAGATCAAATAGAGTTTTTACAGCAGTTTCATGCTGTAGAAGGTCGTTAGGCAGTGCGAACTGTTACAGAAAGGTTTGCTCCAATCTGAGCAGCGCGTTCACGACAGTTGGTAAAGATCGATGGTATTTTGCTGAAAGATTGGAATCTCACATTTTCCTCTAGACTTGACGCTCACTTCCAAATTCGCCATCTGGTAGATCATTTTTTACTTGCGATGCGAGTATTTTAGTACGATCCTTCTTTTTTTACTAACCTAAGTCGCAACTATTGGTGCCACTTTTGGGGCACCTATACAGCTTTTTGATTGCATGTGCTTTGAAATTTGAATAGTAATAAGTTAACACAGTTGATGCATTTTTAGTTCATCAAATGAACCGAAAAAAAAGTGATTCAAACAACCTAATAATAATGAAATCTCGATTTCAGAAATTTTCTAACTCAATATCAATCGCAGTTTTTGAAATGCATAATTTATACATAATGTGGCTTTATACTTTCCGATTTTTTTTGCTTACAAAGTTAGTGTGGATGCCTTCAGTATGTTATATTCCAAATTATTGCTTGCAAAATTGAGTCTTTTAGTATTTGGTGCCACTTTTGCTGAATGGCATTGGCAATTTATTAGTATATGTAGCTGCTTTATTCGTGACGAGTGTTTGTCGGTTGTTAAGCTTGCGTGGCTGAGGGTATAGTGCGTGAGACTCAAAATCTCTTGATTGCAGTAGGTTGCAGATTCGAATCCTACACGTAGCCGAGTTTTTGGTAAGTCGAGGCTTATTTCTACTTTTTCTTTATTCACTTGATAGAGCTGCTTTTTGGTCGTGTTCTCGCTAGTGTTTGCGAAGCGCAGCTTCGCCTCTGTGTTACACAAGTTTTGTTATTGGATGTAGTCCTTCTCACTTATGAAGGCTGATTGACCAGTTTATCTCATTCAGCTCCAGAGTCTGGTTGTGGATTTGTTGGATGTACTCTAGGTCAGCCGATAGTTACAATTTGACCAAATTTTCAAAATTCTCTTCAGTTGTATCTTGGTCCGCAATCTAGCGAGAGAGAAGCTTGCACACTGAAGGTCAAGATGCGGCTTCCGCTAAGAAGGTCTACAAGCATGAAATCGATAAATGTCCGGTAGACCGTTTGTCGGGAATGATCGTAGGGTGATGTAGCATTATGAGACCGGCCTGTACGACACAAGTTTCACCTCATCGCCTAAAAAAATTACACCGTTTTTGTATGATCTCAGCCAAAGGGATCCGAAGCCAAAGGTAACCCTTCGAAAAATTTTAAGAATAAAACAAAGCGGGTACCCTTTGGCCTGCGTTTCTCAAGTAACTGAAAACAATGTAATGCCCTCACTTCCCCCATAAATTCGCTAATGATTCCATGTATTAACATAAGGGACAATAGATCTGTAAATTTTGCCGAGTTTAATGCTCGGAAACGAAGTACCGTATTTGTTCATTGCTTAATTTGTACGCAAATAGTCTAGTGGAAAGCTCTGATTCACGAGCTATGTATGACAATCGGTCATAGATGCATCCAAGGTAGTCGTTTCAATTCCGGTCTACTCTTATTTTTCTACACTTCGAACATTTCCTAGCCCCTTCAAAGCCCCGTTGAACAATTTCCTCGCCCCTTCGAGCATCGTTTTTGGTACATTGTTGTTGAAAAAAGTTCGAGCAATGACTATTCTGTAAAAGTTAAGTCAGCAATGTAGAATAGATGGACTTTAATTATTTAAAATGTTTCAATCCTAGTCGTATAGTATATTATTCAATAAAGCAAATTTTTCTGTACGTATTTGGCTCTAACCATTTTACTTATTGATTTGTAACAGAAAACATGCAACTCCACGAAATGCAGCTGCACCAATACAACCTCGCGATCACCCAGCAGCCAACATATCTCCACTGCCAGATAGCAACAACAGCACGGATGGACAGTCACAAAACCGAAGATCAATCTTCAGAAGGTTGAGAATCAGAGGCGATTGGAGTGACACTGGACCCCAAGCCAGACCTGCTCAGAGCAGTCAGACAAACTCAGATCAAAATCCAGCAGTGTCTGAAACAAGTGGTGCTACCGACAGAGATGTCGACGATGGGAACCCAGGAGTAGAGGAAGTACCTGATGATGTTGGCGCAAGCAGCCGCAATGAGTCTAGAGGCAGTGGACCTTCCGTGAACATCGCTAGATTTGGCAGTATTTTGAACGAAATGTTAGAGCAGCAATTTGGAGGAGCAGAAGAAGAGCCGACATCAACTGCAAATAATCAGGGAAGCCACGGTATGGAAACATTGAAAAGAGTGGTCTTTTTGCCTTTGCAGCTATTCTAAAACGGTGTTTTTTTAATGATTTCGTAACGTAGCAAAAAAACTTTGTCCCTGAACAAGATCTTTTCCACCAACAATGGTCAAAATAAGATGTCTTGCTTTTGTTTGCCGTAGATGTGTCAGAATCTTTAAATCATCAAACTGGCTCGACCGGACTTACTACCGTATCTGAATTGACTATTCACAATGTCGAACATACATCTCCAAGTTCACCCAGTGATGCAGCTACTTTTCATACCATAGCAATTTCAGCGGAAAATAACAGGGACTCAGATGCTACCGAAGACGAAACTATAGAAACTACAGAACAAACGAATAGTTCTGAATCGGTGTCTCAAGGTCAAACCGAATTCAGTAGCAATTTATTTCGGAACGAATCAGCAAGACCTAATATAGTAATAGAGCATGTAGACAGTAGTGACTGCATCGGACAAACGAGTTCAACGGAGTCTGCAACAGACATGGTAGCTGATAGTTTGCCGACTTATGAAGAGCAGAGGCAGGACTATATTAGACAAGTTAAAGAGGAAGTAAGAAATGCGCCCTTAGTGGAAGAAGGCGAAGATCCGACCAGGAGTGTCGTTTTTGTGAGGGAAGATGAGACGATGGAGCAAGGTTGGAAGTAGCTTTTTTATTGTATCGAGAAATATTAAACGTTTCGAAAAACATAACTTAATCAAAAATTTGTCTGTTTTTGGAAGATGTGTTATGAAAAGCGGCCTAACTCGAAATAAGAGATACTGATTTAGATATTTTTAAATTCTACAGTTCAAGCGCTCAAAATATTTAAAATGGCTATAATTGGTCGATAATTATGTTCAATTAAATCTATTCGCGTTTCAATAGGTGGACAGTCCGCAAGTCAAATAGATTCAACGGGTATCAACGTTTACATGGGAACACCACGCTCACAATCTATCAATGCTGGAAGCCCATCCCTAGTGCAGACTTCAAACTTAGAGGAAGGATCCTTCGTTGTAGAGCCATCTGCTAGTGGCGACTCGACAAGAGCTCGTCAAGACGATGATCCGACTATAAGCCGAACAGCGGAAACACGTTGGGCTAATGTAACTAGTGGCCTTATGAACATGATCCGAGCCCAAAATAGAGCCGCAGCTTCTACAGCCAGGTCATGGACCAGACGTCGTAATGACCTCTTAAGCGGTGCGGCGGCTAGAAGGGCTCGACAAGACACGGGAGGCGAAGACGAAAGGGCAAGTGAAACGGAAGATGAAGATGATGTTGTGAGTGATGGTGATGATCAGCAGAAAAAGGACGCTGAGATTTTGGGTTTGTTGGGGATACCGAATGCGGCAATACGGGTAAAATAATATTTTTCTTTCTCTAATCTACTGAGTTTTCTGAATTTGAAAAAGAAAATTTCGATGAAACTGCAATTAAGACAACAGATATGGAAAACTGAAAAAGATGCATTTTGTTCTCTTACTTCTGTTTAAATTTTCCATTATTTCACATTCGAGCAGATTGAGTAAACTTATAATCGTAGCCTACGATATTGCAGTAGCTTACAGAAAATTTGTTTCTTGTTTCTGCATGTGTTTCTAGCTACTTGACTTTTTTCATCAGTTAGAAAATTGGTTTAAATGGAATTATAACTAATAGATAATTACGCAAGCGAGTTTGCGAGTAGTTAAAGAAAGTGACTTTCTCATCCGGAGGTCCGGGTTTGAATCAACTAGCATCATCTTTTTTTAATATATTTTGAAATTTTTTTCTTTTTGTGTTTTCTTTTCGGGTGTTAATTGCGAAGTCCAACTTAGCCTCTGTGTTAATGTTGATTTTTCAGGTGAGATATACAGGACACCGCAACACCAGAACGATGATCAAACAGGCTAACTTCTGGGGAGACGATTACGTCACCACTGGGTCCGACTGTGGCCACATCTTCGTGTACGAGAGGTACTCTGGCAAACTGGTGACAGTGATGGAGGCAGACAGACATGTGGTCAACTGTGTCCAGCCACATCCCACCAACTGTGTTCTCGCATCTAGGTGAGGTTTGCTCACAGTGCACTGTAGAATACTCACCAATATTTCAAAATAAACTTTTTGGTGCAAAACTGCCTGAAGACTTATTTAATTGATTAAGAGCCATGAACGTAGTGAATACTCTAACATAGATCTTGGTGAGTTTTTTCATGCAAAAGTTAAAATTTGTTTTTACCCACGCTACAGATCGACTTTTAATGGTTTGATTTTTGATTTTTTTTCAAATTTAGTTCATTTCCTTTTTTGAAAGGAAATTAGCTCCACTATCGAACAGCGAAAGTATAAAATTCACGAAATTGACTTCTAATTTTGAAAAGGGAATTTTATCATCAGATTTCTTAGCGAAATAAAAATTTTACCTATTGGGTTAATTTTATCAAAAAAGTGTCAATCATAAATTGTTCCAGAAATTCAAAGAGCTTTAAGGCCATCTATTTTTGCTTTAAAATTCGAAAGTTAGGTTTTTTCTAAAAACAAGTCCGTGTTTTTTTCCCGTTTACTTGCGTTCATTGAATCTTTTGCAGTTGTTTATTGGCTATGTTTGGTTTTGGGTTTTGAGCTTGAGTTTTATGATGCGTGTAGTTCTGAGAAAATCTTTAAAGCAGAAGTCTTTGTTAAAGACCCTCTCTTCTAAAAGAAATTGTTTGTTTCCGGTTTGCTTGCCGTAAAATGATCTTTTAGTTACACTTGAATCAGTTTCTCAAAAAGCTTTTTGAAAAAAATCAGAAGTTAGATAGGAGCTTGTATGAAGAATAAGTGTCCCGATTAGAGTGAGTTTTCGTTTCCTTAACTCAGGTTCAATAGTCGTTTTCATGATCACTAGCTGAGCTGATTGATTGAAAACATTCAAAAGTTTCTAGTTCCAACAGATACTTTCATCATGCCACACACAAAGAAGACACCAATCTGGAAGATTTAGTTTTGTTAAGAAAATAGTCGGAGTATTCTGTGCCATTTACAGAGCTATCCTTTTTTCAATATTAGTTTGATAGTTGCAGGTTGATGTTGTTTCTTCGTTTGTCGAGTTTGATCGGATATGATTCATCCTATGATCATTCGTAGTATCATTTCGCTCTCTCCTGGGCCGTTGATTCATACCCTTTAAATCTTTTATCAAGTTTTTTTTTCATAATAAAAGACCATTGCTTATTTATTTTTGGTAAGACGAAGTAAGAAGGACTCTGGCATAGCTTGTGTTTTTGTCCTCCCGATTTGCACTACCTACAGAAATATGGGAGTAAAGTTTGGTTTCACTTTGATTTTCTCTACTGAAATTGTTGTCGTCGGACAATTCTGTGCTACTTGATCAGCAATCAACTATCCTTGTTTAAGTAGATCACAGCTACAAATTAATGTTCAGGCTCAAAATTTTGGGCGAACTGTTACAGAAAGGTTTGCTCCAATCTGAGCAGCGCGTTCACGACAGTTGGTAAAGATCGATGGTATTTTGCTGAAAGATTGGAATCTCACATTTTCCTCTAGACTTGACGCTCACTTCCAAATTCGCCTCTGGTAGATCATTTTACACTTGCGAAGCGAGTGTTTTAGTACGAACTTTCTTTTTTTCCAACCTAAGTCGCAACTATTGGTGCCACTTTTGGGGCACCTATACAGCTTTTTGATTGCATGTGCTTTGAAATTTGAATAGTAATAAGTTAACACAGTTGATGCATTTTTAATTCATCAAATGAACCGAAAAAAAGTGATTCAAACAACCTAAAAATAATGAACTCTCAATTTCAGAAATTTTCTAACTCAATATCAGTCGCAGTTTTTGAAATGAATAATTTATACATAATGTGGCTTTATGCTTTCCGATTTTTTTTTTGCATACAAAGTTAGTGTGGATGCCTTCAGTATGTTATATTCCAAATTATTACTTGCAAAATTGAGTCTTTTAGTATTTGGTGCCACTTTTGCTGAATGGCATTGGCAATTTATTAGCATATGTAGCTGCTTTATTCGTGACGAGTGCTTGTCGGTTGTTAAGCTTGCGTGGCTGAGGGTATAGTGCGTGAGACTCAAAATCTCTTGATTGCAGTAGGTCGCAGATTCGAATCCTACACGTAGCCGAGTTTTTGGTATGTTGAGGCTTATTTCTACTTTTTCTTTATGCACTTGATAGAGCTGCTTTTTGGTCGTGTTCTCGCAAGTGTTTGCGAAGCGCAGCTTCGCTCTGTGTTACACAAGTTTTTGTTGTTGGATGTAGTCCTTCTCACTTATGAAGGCTGATTGACCAGTTTATCTCATTCAGCTCCAGAGTCTGGTTGTGGATTTGTTGGATGTACTCTAGGTCAGCCGATAGTTACAATTTGACCAAATTGTCAAAATTCTCTTCAGTTGTATCTTGGTCCGCAATCTAGCGAGAGAGGAGCTTGCACACTGAAGGTCAAGATGCGGCTTCCGCTAAGAAGGTCTACAAGCATGAAATCGATAAATGTTTGTCGGGAATGATCGTAGGGTGATGTATTATTATGAGGCCGGCCTCTACGACACCAGTTTCACCTCATCACCTAAAAAAATTACACAGTTTTTGTATGATCTCAGCCATAATGATCCGAAGCCAAAGGTACCCTTCGAAAAATTTTAAGAATAAAACAAAGCGGATACCCTTTGGCCTGCGTTTGTGTTACTGAAAACAATGTAATGCCCTCACTTCCCCCATAAATTCGCTAATGATCCCATGTATTAACATAAGAGACAATAGATCTGTAAATTTTGCCGAGTTTAATGCTCGCAAAAGAAGTACCGTATTTGTTCATTGCTTAATTTGTACGCAAATAGTCTAGTGGAAAGCTCTGATTCACGTGCTATATATGACAATCGATCATAGATGCATCCAAGGTAGTCGTTTCAATTCCAGTCTACTCTTATTTTTCTACACTTCGAACATTTCCTAGCCCTTCAAAGCCCCGTTGAACAATTTCCTTGCCCCTTCGAGCATCGTTTTTGGTACATTGTTGTTGAAAAAAGTTCGAGCAATGACTATTCTGTAAAAGTTAAGTCAGCAATGTAGAATAGATGGATTTTAATTATTTAAAATGTTTCAATCCTAGTCGTATATTATTCAATAGAAGCAAATTTTTCTGTACGTAGTTGGCTCTAACCATTTTACTTATTGATTTTGTAACAGAAAACATGCAACTCCACGAAATGCAGCTGCACCAATACAACCTCGCGATCACCCAGCAGCCAACATATCTCCACTGCCAGATAGCAACAACAGCACGGATGGACAGTCACAAAACCGAAGATCAATCTTCAGAAGGTTGAGAATCAGAGACGACTGGAGTGACACTGGACCCCAAGCCAGACCTGCTCAGAGCAGTCAGACAAACTCAGATCAAAATCCAGCAGTGTCTGAAACAAGTGGTGCTACCGACAGAGATGTCGACGATGGGAACCCAGGAGTAGAGGAAGTACCTGATGATGTTGGTGCAAGAAGCCGCAATGAGTCTAGAGGCAGTGGACCTTCCGTGAACATCGCTAGATTTGGCAGTATTTTGAACGAAATGTTAGAGCAGCAATTTGGAGGAGCAGAAGAAGAGCCGACATCAACTGCAAATAATCAGGGAAGCCACGGTATGGAAACATTGAAAAAAGTGGTCTTTTTGCCTTTGCAGCTATTCTAAAACGGTGTTTTTTAATGATTTCGTAACGTAGCAAAAAAACTTTGTCCCTGAACAAGATCTGTTCCACCAACAATGGTCAAAATAAGATGTCTTGCTTTTGTTTGCCGTAGATGTGTCAGAATCTTTAAATCATCAAACTGGCTCGGCCGGACTTACTACCGTATCTGAATCGACTATTCACAATGTCGAACATACATCTCCAAGTGCACCCAGTGATGCAGCTACTTTTCATACCATAGCAATTTCAGCGGAAAATAACAGGGACTCAGATGCTACCGAAGACGAAACTATAGAAAGTACAGAACAAACGAATAGTTCTGAATCGGTGTCTCAAGGTCAAACCGAATTCAGTAGCAATTTATTTCGGAACAAATCAGCAAGACCTAATATAGTAATAGAGCATGTAGACAGTAGTGACTGCATCGGACAAACGAGTTCAACGGAGTCTGCAACAGACATGGAAGCTGATAGTTTGCCGACTTATGAAGAGCAGAGGCAGGACTATATTAGACAAGTTAAAGAGGAAGTGAGAAATGCGCCCTTAGTGGAAGAAGGCGAAGATCCGACCAGGAGTGTCGTTTTTGTGAGGGAAGATTAGACGATGGAGCAAGGTTGGAAGTAGCTTTTTTATTGTATCGAGAAATATTAAACGTTTCGAAAAACATAACTTAATCAAAAATTTGTCTGTTTTTGGAAGATGTGTTATGAAAAGTGGCCTAACTCGAAATAAGAGATGCTGATTTCGATATTTTTAAATTCAACAGTTCAAGCACTCAAAATATTTAAAATGGCTATAATTGGTCGATAATTATGTTCAATTAAATCTATTCACGTTTCAATAGGTGGACAGTCCGCAAGTCAAATAGATTCAACGGGTATCAACGTTTACATGGGAACACCACGCTCACAATCTATCAATGCTGGAAGCCCATCCTTAGTGCAGACTTCAAACTTAGAGGAAGGATCCTTCGTTGTAGAGCCATCTGCTAGTGGCGACTCGACAATAGCTCGTCAAGACGATGATCCGACTATAAGCCGAACAGCGGAAACACGTTGGGCTAATCTAACTAGTGGCCTTATGAACATGATCCGAGCCCAAAATAGAGCCGCAGCTTCTACAGCCAGGTCATGGACCAGACGTCGTAATGACCTCTTAAGCGGTGCGGCGGCTAGAAGGGCTCGACAAGACACGGGAGGCGAAGACGAAAGGGCAAGTGAAACGGAAGATGAAGATGATGTTGTGAGTGATGGTGATGATCAGCAGAAAAAGGACGCTGAGATTTTGGGTTTGTTGGGGATACCGAATGCGGCAATACGGGTAAAATAATATTTTTCTTTCTCTAATCTACTGAGTTTTCTGAATTTGAAAAAGAAAGTTTCGATGAAACTGCAATTAAGACAACAGATATGGAAAACTGAAAAAGATGCATTTTGTTCTCTTACTTCTGTTTAAATTTTCCATTATTTCACATTCGAGCAGATTGAGTAAACTTATAATCGTAGCCTACGATATTGCAGTAGCTTACAGATAATTTGTTTCTTGTTTCTGCATGTGTTTCTAGCTACTTGACTTTTTTCATCAGTTAGAAAATTGGTTTAAATGGAATTATAACTAATAGATAATTACGCAAGCGAGTTTGCGAGTAGTTAAAGAAAGTGACTTTCTCATCCGGAGGTCCGGGTTTGAATCAACTAGCATCATCTTTTTTTAATATATTTTGAAATTTTTTCTTTTTGTGTTTTCTTTTCGGGTGTTAATTGCGAAGTCCAACTTAGCCTCTGTGTTAATGTTGATTTTTCAGGTGAGATATACAGGACACCGCAACACCAGAACGATGATCAAACAGGCTAACTTCTGGGGAGACGATTACGTCATCACTGGGTCCGACTGTGGCCACATCTTCGTGTACGAGAGGTACTCTGGCAAACTGGTGACAGTGATGGAGGCAGACAGACATGTGGTCAACTGTGTCCAGCCACATCCCACCAACTGTGTTCTCGCATCTAGGTGAGGTTTGCTCACAGTGCACTGTAGAATACTCACCAATATTTCAAAATAAACTTTTTGGTGCAAAACTGCCTGAAGACTTATTTAATTGATTAAGAGCCATGAACGTAGTGAATACTCTAACATAGATCTTGGTGAATTTTTTCATGCAAAAGTTAAAATTTGTTTTTACCCACGCTACAGATCGACTTTTAATGGTTTGATTTTTGATGTTTTTTTTTCAAATTTAGTTCATTTCCTTTTTTGAAAGGAAATTAGCTCCACTATCGAACAGCGAAAGTATAAAATTCACGAAATTGACTTCTAATTTTGAAAAGGGAATTTTATCATCAGATTTCTTAGCGAAATAAAAATTTTACCTATTGGGTTAATTTTATCAAAAAAGTGTCAATCATAAATTGTTCCAGAAATTCAAAGAGCTTTAAGGCCATCTATTTTTGCTTTAAAATTCGAAAGTTAGGTTTTTTCTAAAAACAAGTCCGTGTTTTTTTCCCGTTTACTTGCGTTCATTGAATCTTTTGCAGTTGTTTATTGGCTATGTTTGGTTTTGGGTTTTGAGCTTGAGTTTTATGATGCGTGTAGTTCTGAGAAAATCTTTAAAGCAGAAGTCTTTGTTAAAGACCCTCTCTTCTAAAAGAAATTGTTTGTTTCCGGTTTGCTTGCCGTAAAATGATCTTTTAGTTACACTTGAATCAGTTTCTCAAAAAGCTTTTTGAAAAAAATCAGAAGTTAGATAGGAGCTTGTATGAAGAATAAGTGTCCCGATTAGAGTGAGTTTTCGTTTCCTTAACTCAGGTTCAATAGTCGTTTTCATGATCACTAGCTGAGCTGATTGATTGAAAACATTCAAAAGTTTCTAGTTCCAACAGATACTTTCATCATGCCACACACAAAGAAGACACCAATCTGGAAGATTTAGTTTTGTTAAGAAAATAGTCGGAGTATTCTGTGCCATTTACAGAGCTATCCTTTTTTCAATATTAGTTTGATAGTTGCAGGTTGATGTTGTTTCTTCGTTTGTCGAGTTTGATCGGATATGATTCATCCTATGATCATTCGTAGTATCATTTCGCTCTCTCCTGGGCCGTTGATTCATACCCTTTAAATCTTTTATCAAGTTTTTTTTTCATAATAAAAGACCATTGCTTATTTATTTTTGGTAAGACGAAGTAAGAAGGACTCTGGCATAGCTTGTGTTTTTGTCCTCCCGATTTGCACTACCTACAGAAATATGGGAGTAAAGTTTGGTTTCACTTTGATTTTCTCTACTGAAATTGTTGTCGTCGGACAATTCTGTGCTACTTGATCAGCAATCAACTATCCTTGTTTAAGTAGATCACAGCTACAAATTAATGTTCAGGCTCAAAATTTTTTCCCCAGTTTGATTTCTTTTTAAGTTCAGTTCAATTCCTTTGTTAAAAGCAAAGAAAACTCCACTATCGGACAGCAAAAGTGGAGGCCACGAAAACGTGATCGACTTCCGGAGTCGAAAGTGGATTTTAATTTTGTGATTTTGCAGCGGAAGAAAAAAAATTACCTATTGATCCAGATTTCTCAAATTGAGTGAATTTTTAAAAAAGTGTCAATCAGTTGTTCTTGAAATTCAACGAGCTTTAAGGCCATATGTTTTTTTTTGAAAACAAAACAGTTGAATTAGTGTGATACTTATAGAATGTGCGGACGTTTTCAACCAATCAACGTCCTTTAAACAGTCAAAATCTGACTGAGCTTCATGCTTTTGCTTTCAATTTTCGAGTTCTAGATTTGATTGGCTAGCATAATTTTCGATCATTCGGTTCTTATGCCATGAGGGTTTCCCCCAAAACAGGTTAATGTCTGCTTTGTGGGACGCGCCACAAAAATCAGTCTAATTATAACAAAAATGCCTGCTTGAATTTGATGCTTCAGTTTGAAGTTTTCTGGTTTCTTAAAGCGAATTTATGAAAGTCTTGCCTATCATGCCATGTTATCGCGGATTAAAATGCCTCAGTTTTCTCACAGTTAACGTTTTTTTTTCAGTGGCATCGATTATAACGTCAAGATCTGGGCTCCCACGGGACCGCCTGGACTAGGTGCCCCTCCCCACATGCTAGAATTAGTAGAAAGAAACATGGTGATGCAGCGGCAAACACGTGATCTAATCACAGTACCCGCCTCATTCATGCTGCGTCTGCTAGCTATAGCTTCGGCTCGAAATAACAGACAAGAGTCGAGTGGTGGAAATGACGAGGCAGAGAGTACTCCTAACGCGGCGACCCAGGAGACGACAGAAGGCGAAGAAAGGTCAGCAGTGAGTGAAGAAATAATTCAGACGCCGCCACGAGAGGAAGAAACTAATGAATATTCATCTGATAGTGACTGAAATTTTAGTTTAGTCTGATATCACGCCACTTTTTACGAGTAGCTATAAATTTTTGAGAGTAATACAATTTAGAGATCACTGTTTTGCATCTAGTTGAAAGCGTTACATGAGAGTTAAGCGCCTTTATTTCAGGGGTTTTAATACTGAAAGCATATCACTCGTTCATGATACAAGCAGCGTTTGTGGTATAAGATCAGTTTTTGTCCAACGCGCAACTTTGTTTCCAGTTTCACTAGCTTAGTTTCTATGTGGCTATTTCGAATAGAATCAGATGCTTTTCTTGAAGCATACTCTTTGGTGTCTAGTATTCGGTTTTATTGCGTGAAATTAATTATAGATGCTGGCTGTCATTAATATAGTAGTAAGAAAATGGGGCTGTGATGTTTATATTATGCAAAAACTATATTAGGCGAAAATAAAAATGAAGGATCAACCGGACAATCTCCCCCTAAGTGACCTACCGTAGAATCTCCCCCTAGCCACGTATTAATTTTGAAAATTGATTTTGTATAAAATATTAATTTCAAACAAAGTTGCAGAATAGACTGCTTGAGATAACTTTTCAGAAGTATTAACTATTTTATACTGTTAATTGACCAAATTATTATTCATAGTTATTTTTGAATTAATTTTTTGACTACTTATATCAATTTAGTTTGCCCTCAAAGTTGATATGTGAATATAAGTAGTTTATCCACCCCAAAAAAAATTGACTATGGGGAAATTGTACGGTTGATCCAAAATGAATACTCTAGGAAATCTAGGAAAAATTAAAACGGAAATTTGGGTTGATCACGCTAATATTTCCTCCGAAATCAATGACAAGCGGACAAAAAATAATCTGCCGATTGTTGGTTTACAGCGATAACCTGCTCTAATTTTTTTTTACAGATTCCAACCCTCTGTTGGCAAGCTCGCAACAAGTTGAGGCAACTGCAGAGGACACTATTTTGCTTTTCACAAAAGCACACACAGTAGTGTATTTTAGTAGGCATCTTCGTTTTTTTTACAACCCATTGCAATCTATTAGCACGTTCAGCTGCTCTATTGGTGGCTGAAGTTAGCAGCTTTTCAAGGGCCCGTGGCGCAGATGCTAGAGCGTAAGACTCCAAACCTGAAGATAGGAGGTTGGAATCTGACAAACAGTCAAAGCTTTTTTCGAGGCTTAAATTTAGCATTTATTATATGGCTTTACACCAGCGAATTTTAGTGAGCGTTCGTGTTATACTACGGTTATTCTTTTTTCCAACATTAGTCGTAACTAGTAGTCCAAACTTTTGGGGCACCTGTACAGCTTTTTGATAGCATGTGCTTTGACATTCGAATTGTAATAAGTTAACACAGTTGATGGATTTTAAATTGATCAACTGAACCGAAAGAAGCTAACTGCTTCAAACATTAAAACAATAAAAACTCGATTTCAGAAATTTTCTAACCCAATATATCTCGCAATAGTTTTCGCCTATTATAGTCACCCTATCAAGAATGTGTGAAATCATAGATAATGAATTTTATTTAATAGCCTGCAGTAAAGCGTTTCTAATCGAAAGCATGCTTTTGATCGAACTTATGCAAACGCTGTTCGGCAGAAAAATTTACCAGTTCGATCGTGTGATTATAGTTTTTGGTAAAAGCTTGTTAACAGCTGCGTTTGTTTAACATGTATGATGAAAATTTAAACCCAGTCTGAATTTTGGACACTTGTACAAAACTCGCGTTATTATCAATTTAATTTGAATTTTATAAATTTCATTAAGTTTTTAAAAAATGAATATATATCTCGCCCAGTTAGCGAATAGTTTTATTATTCTGAACTTTAAGTATGTTTGGGTGAACGAAATTAACCGGAGACCAAATGTTCCGCAACTTTCTTCAAAGTCATAGCATTGATGATTTTCAATCTCATCAAGTGAAATAATAATTAGATCAAACCTACAAAAGCTATAAAAAAGGCCGTTTTACTAAGTTAATCAAAATTATATGAATGAAAAACTTTTTTTTATTTAGGAGAGTTTTAATTAATAGTTTATATTCGGTTAATCAGTTCAAACGGGTTATTGAGTTGATTAAGAAAATCGAACACATTCGGAGTAGATTAGTACCTTTGTTTTGTAAAACTCACGTTCAATCTGAAATTTTTTTTGAGATGTCACCCTTTTATAGCTTTTATTGATGTTTGTTTATCATGAAGTGATGGCCATTTTGTCTTTTAAAATAACACTTTTCATGAAAAGAGCAGTTCTGAAGGTTTTGAAATACTAATTAGATCAAACCTACAAAAGCTATAAAAAGGGCCGTTTTACCGAGTTAATCAAAATCATATGCATGAAAAAAATTTTTCGTGCATATTTTTTCTCGCTTTCTTTCTCGGACTTTCGAATAGATTGACAAAAATTTTGAGCTTAGAATGGTGTTTCTCCAGATATATTTGACGATGAATTTAACCTGTAGGCTGTTTTGTCAAAAATTTTTTGTACAATCTAAATGATATGATTCTTTGAGCCAAAAAAAAAACAAAATTTAAAAAAAAAAGTTTTCCATGAGAGTTTGATCATCAATTGTTTCGCTGATTTGGGTACGACTTTGCCAGTTTTTTTTTTAACGCGTTGTGTAAGTGTGAAGTATTGGAGGCGTGGAGGAACTTTGTTTTCCGTTGTGTTTCAGTTTTTTTTAATTTTGTTTTCCACGCAAAATCAGGTACCACAAATAATCGTCGGACTGGGTTGAGTATATGTCATATTGAAGCGCTTTCAGTCATGATTCGAACGATATATTTAAAAAATCCAAAAAAAGTACCGTGTGTCGAGAAAAACCGTTTTAGAATTTTTGATTTTCGGTCTTGATTTTTTGATTTTCGGTCTTGATTGTCTCGAAGCCGTGAAACTTAGATTTACTTAAATAAAGGTAGTTTTTTGGAGTTTTCTAGCGCAAGCATGGGAATCAAAAACTTGACAATTCAAACGTTTTCTGCAAACGTTGAAAAAATTTTTGAAGTGTTTTTAAATTTTGTTTAAATTTTTTTTTCGTTTTCCTTGTCATTTTTCTTTAAAAATTGTTTTCCAACTGACCTATTCTACTATGACTCTGAAATAAGCCCAAACTCTATTTTTTCGTTCTGATGTTTTTCTACAACATGCAGATAAAACAACAACATTTTGAAAAAACTTTTTTTTTGCATTTTTTAAGACTGTGGTCGGAACATTTTGTGCTATTTGCAAAGTAACCGGCTATCCTTGATTTAAACTGAATTTATAAATTTAGCTAGTTAAATTTTTCTTCATCGCAAATTTAGTTTTAACACTCGGAAATTTTCTATTCCAATCATTTAAAAATTGGGGAATCTTTGTATTCGGGTGTTCTTGGTTTTTTTTTGCTTTTTGTTTTCCACGCAAAATCAGGTGCCACAAATTTTTATTGGACGGAATTAAGTTATATAACATAGTGAAGCCGTTTCAGTTGTGATTCGAGCCACATTAAAAAGTTTTCAAATTTTTTTTTCCAGTGTCGAGAAAAACCGGAGAAATTGTTGATTTTTCGTCTTAATTAGAGCAAATAAAGCAAGCGAGCAGGCTTACAACAGCTAGATTGTGCCTAATCTAAGACCTTAAAACCTTATTTAAGTAAGTAAACTATTTTTTGGAGTTCTGTTAGCTCCATTTGGGAACCAATAACTTCAAAAAATTCAAAATTTTCTGCAAAAATTTTTGAAAAAATAAAAAAAGTTTTTTTTTTAGCTTTTCTAGTCGTTTTTTTTCTACAAAATTTTTTTTCCAATTTGCTTACATTACTATGATTTTATATTATGCCTAAATTAGGTTTTCGCGTCAGATCATTTTGTCATACCAACCAGAAGAAAACTTTTTTTAATTTGGAAAATAAACCTTTCTAAACCTAAATTTCTAAAGAGCATGGGCGGAACATTCTATGCTACTTGCACAGTAACCGGCTATCCCTGTTTCTTTTTCTTTTTGTTTTCAACGCAAACTCGGGTACCACTAAAAGTTTTAGGAATGGGCCGAATGATATATCATAATAAAACCCTTTCAGCCGTGATTCGAACGACATTAAAAATTTTCAATAAAAAAGTCCCGGTATTGAGAAAAACTGGTTTAATATTTTCGATTGTTTGTCTAAGTTCGAACAAAAAATGCGTGCAAGCAGGCTTACATTAGCTTATTTTTGTTTAATTCAGGTCGGTAAAACTTATTTTTATCCAAATAAAGTTGTTTTTGGAATTTTTCTGTACCATTTGGGTACAGAAAACTCTAAAATTCCAACAATTTCCGCAAAAAAAATTTTAAATATTTTTTGTTTTTCAACATTTTTTTTTCAAATTTGCCTCTTTTTACTTTAACTGCCTACGATTTACTTCTCTGTTCATATCGTTTTGCCACAGCACGACCCTAGTTTGAAAAAAAAATGTGTGTTTTTTAGACGGAAGATTCTGTGATACTTGCACAGTTGCCGTCTATCCTTTTCAATACTGAATTTGAAACGCAGTAATGATTTATGTAAAGAAGCACCAAAAAAATTGAAAAGTTAAATGTAAAATTTGTTTTTCTCAAATTGTATTAATTTGAGACAAAAAAAAGAGGGGAACATTTCAACATCAACAGTATTGTGCAATTTTTCATTTGAAATTAGTGCCTAAAAATCCATCATTCTTGCTTTTTTGATAGACATTTAAAAATTAAGCAAAACTATTGGTTCGATTACTTGCAAATCTATTTCCAAATAAGCTTTTTTTGTTTTCAGCCAAACAGAGTGTAAAGAAATTGTGTTCCTCTTAGTGAGATAAAACTCAAAGGCAAAAAGAGTCTTTTTGTTGGGCTATTCAAAGAAGCTCATCTTGCTGTAGGTTTGTCAGTAGCGTTGCTAATTTTTGGGTAATTTTTGATTGAATAAAGCATTAAAAAGTGATATTTTTTAAGTAAAGGTGTGGGCCCAGGTTTTGCAATTTAAATTAAACTATAGCAATTGTGCCTAATTTCCAAAAAAAGTTTCCTGATCATTGTTTTTCATCTAAAATTCAGAAAAAAATTCGAAGTATACTTTTATTTCCTTCATCT